AAAAAAATCTTTACCCCGCCCTCCCCCCCCCCCCCAGGCGGCACTAAAAACTAACTACGCAGACGACTGGGACTGTTCTTAATGAAATCAGTAAATCTTTTGCCGATGATGTAAAGGATATCTCTTCAATGTTTGCTGCATACAAACAACTGATTTGTGCATTTAATAGGTACTGACTCATAATACTTTAATTGTAAATTAGATTTTTGATCTATCGTTTGCTTTATGACTATCCAGGTGTAAGGTGAACTTTGACCTCGTTTGAAAAAAATATCCCCCGCCCCCACATATGAAAATAAAAGTCGGCAGCTCTTGTTATTTTGTCCAGGTCTACCTTAACACCCCAGTCCCTGGCAACCTGAACACGCCAGTCCCGGGCTGCCTGAACACTCCAGTCCCGGGCCACCTGAACACGCCAGTCCCGGGCCATCTGAACACGCCAGTACCGGGCCATCTGAACACTCCAGTACCGGGCCACCTGAACACTCCAGTTCACCACAGGTTTTCCCCAAATATTTATAAATTATTTCAACGATGTGCCATTTGTTGTTTATTTGAAGGTGCAGTTGAAAATACATGTCCTCGTTAGAAAATTCATGTCTTCGGTAGAAAATACATGTCCTCGGTTCGAAATACATGTCTTTGTTTGAAAATACAAGTCTTCATTGAAAATGCATGTCTTCAGTTAAAAATACATGATTTTCACATCAAATTGACAAATTGCATATTTACATAGCAAACACTACTCGGTCCAACAAAAAATTCCATAAAAGGATAACCTATCTCACGTCATTTTTTTTTTCATCCATGTAACCAATCCAAACGCATGCTTTATTAAAAGTTCAAAGTTGATGCGTCAGAAATTATAATTAGGTCAGAGAAAACACTGTTTTAACCATGATTAAACGCCGATTGAAGTGTCCGGTAACTTTCGTAAGTGATACTCTTTTTTGCCTAAAATGCTTCGTGTATAACATTTTTCGGTACTCTTGGGAGAATAGTTTCCTTCTCTGCTGCATCTGTATCTACGGGATGTTTTAATAGAACGCTGTGGAATGTCAGTTTAAAAAAAAGATTGTCATCAACACGCTGCAGTGCTTATCTGGCTGGTGTTAAGGCAGTGAAAGATAAGTTTGATGAATGTGTGGCGGTGATTGAAGTTATATGTGATCCTCTGGAAAATTAGGATAGGTCTTTTTACATGTTGTCTGTGATTACACGTTTATCTGCTACCTTAGTTTGGGCTGATCTACTTGAGGCAGTTAATTTTACACCGCAGTATCTGGTAGACTAAAGGCTTTGCTCTTGACAAAGTGGTGACAACCTAGATGCCTTAAGATTGTTTCTGCACGAGGAGCAATGCCAGTTGGTGGAACGTGCTCCTGAAAAGGCATTTTTGAAATTCAGTTTAATCTTGAATTTCGGTAGAGAGAAGCTTAAGATTTAAGACGACAATGACAGGAGAACAATTAATAGATGCTGGACTCTCTCTCTGTCTCTTTCTCCTTCCCCCAGTGTTTCTTTCAGGAATTTTCCCCCGGAGGGGCACTTCAGAGATTTTCGGTGGCGGGGGGGGGGGGGGGGGTGGGAGTGCCCCCCCCCGGAGATATAGCTGAAAGAAACCCTGGCTTCCCCCTCTCCCCCCCTCTCTCTCTCTCTCTCTCTCTTTCTCTCTCTCTCTGTGTGTGTGTGAGAAGAAAACAGTAGTGAGATGTTGTGGTGTAATAATCGCTTTCATTCTGAACTTGAGATCAAATCATCAGTGATCAGGGAATGAGCAGATATGCTTCGGGCTGTTCAACCCAAGGGTCTACTATCAGCAAGTGAAGAAGAGTTATTAACCTCTTTCTATGATGAGTTATCAGAAGATAACTTTTAAAAGAAATACCAAGGCTCGGAAGACATGTAAAGGCAGCTGACATTGCATTTCACAAAGTCACGGACTGGTCCGTATTTGATATTTTGACATTTCTATCTGAATGGGACTTCCTAGAGTCTTTTCCAATATTCTAGCTAAGCCTTCATTTGTTTCTTACGATCTGCGTCTGTGACCTCATGTGAGAGGGGCTTTTTAAAACTAAGTTTATCAAGAAAGATGTACGAACCTCCATGGGACAGTAAATGTTTTCTGATCTGGGCGTCAAGTGACTGACGGGTTTGCCAGCTTCGAAGAAAGAGCGGACAATTTTTAAATAAAGTAAATTTAATGTACAAATGACTCTAAAAAAATAACTCTTAAATACATTTACCTCTCCTGACCTTCAAGTTTCAAGTAATTTGTTTTTGTTCTTGTCATTCTCATACTGTGGACTTACTTTAAGAAGAAGATATCTATTGTGGAAGTCAGGGGGGGGAGGGAGGGGAGGGGACACGATGAGTTTACTGTATCGGGTTACCCCAACCCAGCTACGCCACAGAGTAGAAATTTAGGTATGGAACCGGTGTCTAGTTTTAGAGTTAACGGCTACAAACCTAAATCCCTACTCGCACTGGTGTCGTGAGAGGCTCTAACTGTTCGGCTTCCACTTCCACCCCTTGGGACTCAGTGGGTATTTTTTTCGTCGCCTGAAACTAAACTAACCTAAACTAAACTAAACGAATCAAAACTAAACTACACTAAACTGTACTTAACTAATTTAACTTAAACTTAATTAATATCATTCAACATAAACTAGACTAATCTAATTTAATCTAAATATCGGACGTTTTCCGATTAAAAGTGAATGATGATAAGATTGAGGCAATTATTTGTGGTTCATACGCCATTCTTCGGAAAGTTGCCATTGCATCAATAAAAGTTGGTGAATCAGAGATCCTGTTGTCCTAGACTGTCAGAGACCTTGGCTTTTATATTGACAGTAAACTTAGTATGATTCTCAATACCAGTTATGTGGTCGAGGCATGCGTCTGTCATCTGCGCGCGCTGGATCAGCTGCGTCCTCAACTCAATAGGAGAACAGCCAATGCTGTAGCGGTAACTCTAATCCAGGCAAGATTAGATTACTGTAACAGTTGTTTGTGGGGTTTACGTCAGAACCAAATTCAGAGACTCCAAAGGATACAAAATACTGCAGCACGCATTTTATCGCGGTAAAAGAAATCTGACCACATCACCTCAGTTTCTACGAGATCTCCATTGGTTTCCTGTGAGTGAGTGCATTAACTACAAAATTCTGTATCTAGCGTACAGCTGCATTGATGGCAGAGCACCGGAATATCTTAAAGAACTGATTTATAAATATTTATCCTTGAACAGGGTTTCTTTCAGCTATATCTCCCGGGGGGGGGGGAGGCCCGGGGAAAGCCAAGGGCCCCCCTCCCCCAAGCAAAAATAACCCCCCGAAAAATAAAATATGAAGAGCCCCCGCCCCCCACCCGGCGAAAATGTCTGAAATAATCACTGTCCTTAAAGAGCCTGCAGTATTCAACACAGTACTTACTGAGAGTTCCCAGTGTGGATGAACACAGAAAAAAGTCTTACGGAGTGCGCTCTTTTGAAGCGATAGCGCCAAAATTATGGAACAGTTTGCCTCAATCTATGAGGGGATTGAAAATGATAAAAATCATTTAAGAAACATTTTAAAACTTTTTTGTTTAAATAGATTTAAGAAAACCAGAGCAAAATGAGCATGCTAAAGTGGCATGAATACCAGCGCTATATAAATATCCAATCAATCAATCAATCAATCAATCAAAATACCGGTATCATAATTATTATTTAATTTTTAAATTTTTTGGTTATTTGTTTTGGTGTTCTTTTATCGGTATTTTTTACCGGCAGGCTCCGGGCACGGTCATCAGACTAGGGTTTGGAGCGCCAAAAGCTAAAATTATTCTTTTAAATTTCGTATTATACAAAATGCCTTTTGAAAAAAAAATTGTTAATTCAGTAACTAGAAAGGCAGCAGTACTGTTTTGCATTTTATTTTTTTTTAAAGAAATAACACATTTAATAGGCAAATTAGGTTGTTGGTATTTTTATGACATCAATGATTAAAAAAATAAAGTATATAATATAAAGTTCTAAAATATAATAATATTTTGGACTAATACTAAATTATTAATCATTTCAGTGAAAATAATAAATACAAAAAAGAAATTCTGTAAACTACACAGGCAATTATTTTAAGGGTGTAAAAGGGCGGTTTAGATAGGAATATTGATGATTGTTTCATATTATAAATGTATGTCGATAGTTCGATCTCGTATCTTTATTTTATAACAATCAGAACTTATTTAACTTTTTTATTTGTTTACAGTAACAACTTCCGCTTCCGGAAATATGTGTTATTGCCTATGTTTGTAAAAGCAAAAGGAAAATCAACAATCCTAGCCCTTTATCCTTTATGGTAGTGCCATAGTTCTTCACGTTCTTTTAAAATGAGGAATATGTATCTGTATAATTTATCCCGTTCATTTTCTGTCGGCTTAATAAAATATTCATAATTAATTTATTTATAAAAATTACTTGGGTAAATAAATGTTGGATTGGGATTAATTAATGCTTATTAGTCTTAGTCGTCTTAGACTTTTTTAGACCTAAGACTTTGACTCACTTTGAGTTTGACTTACCTACTAATTAAGACTACTAATAATTTTTCTTTTTCTTTAGCTTACTAAGTCAAGTTTAGGTACAATGTCAATGATTCTTTTTTTAAAAATTGGTCATCATTCTGATTATTAATTATTGCCTTGTGCCTTCAAACCCCCACTGCATGATTCCCTCACAAAGTGGCACTGGAAATCAGTGAAATGTCCTCATCAACACTGGCACAGAAACATTGCAAATCCCCTCTACATGCATAGGAGCCAAAATGATCAATAAATTGATTGTGGGCCCTTAATATATATAGAAGAAAAAAACACTTTGTAATTATAGGGCAGTAGGCACTTTGTTTGGTATTTGCCAGAAACACCCGAAAAACGGATATCCCAATTTTTTTTTCAAAATGGCTACCTCCACTTTTTAATTTACTGAGGGTACCGTTATTTCACCTTTAATAGTCGATTTTAGCATAATAATAAATGCTATGTCCGTCAAAGACTTAAGTGCAGACATCTTGCTTGTTCTTTAAGAATTTATTAGATTTTTTTCGAGGTTAAAGCTTTGAAAATTATTATCAATAATATTATAAACTATAGATATTCTCTTTTTAATTACAAGAAAATTGCATTCGATTTCAATTTTTTTTACCAAAATGCCCACAAGTTTTTTTATTATCTTTACATATGTTTTTGCCCTGTTTACTTTCCCTGCAGGTGGATTGTAGCATTATTTACTGTGAAAAGTAAATAGAATTGCTCTTTTTTTAATTTAATATGTTTGCCAAGTTGAAAAAAAAGATAGAAAATGAGAGCGGTGCAAGTTTAAATTCTGAGTCTCCTGGCAAAACTACACAGCATCGACGAGATTCTGGTAAGCTTTTAGCAGCCATTATCTTTATGATTACATGGATTCATTACAAGACATCATTTCATTTTTTTAAGCTGCAAACAACCGTCTCTTAGTTTATTAAATTGCAAAATGTGTTGTATTAGGGAATTTTACATAACTTTATTTCCAATACAGCAGTGTCCAGAAAAATGGCATAGCGTGTAATGACTATTTTTAAAGTAGTCTCAGCTTAAGTTAATCAATCAATTTATGAGCCTTTAAATTCTGATAAGTTTCTAATGCAATATTCTAGTTGTATTATCTGTCATTCTACATTAAACTTGTTTCAGTTTCCAGTCTCCCAAGGGCAGGAAGCTATCAACATCTTGGTCCATCTCCCCCAGGAAGCATCACAAGTGAAGATTCTTCTGTAAGCTTAAATTAAACAAAATTGCTTATATCAACTTAGGGTTTATTACAACTGGGGCGGAAGAAAAGTGTATATCCAACTGGATGTTTAAACAAAGTTCCAAAGAAGTCAATTTCTATTCTGAGAAATTCACTTTTTCAAATTTACTCAGCACTTTAAGTAAATTCAAAAGTATAAACTTATAAAATGTGTTTCCCTCTCCAGATGCGGGATGTAAGCAATCCTAGGGATGAACTGGCCATGCTCCTTCAGAGGAAAACTGAGCAGTGTAAAAAATTGGAGGGAAATATAAGTGGTACGATTGTAATTGCAGTATAGATTTTTTTCTGATCATAGACATACAATTTTGATTAATTATTATTTGTATACTGCCACAAAAATGCATGAATTAAAATCCTACCCATTGTTATTAGAACTCATGGTGGGCATTCCTATCAAAAATTTTTTTTTCTAAAATGTGTCTTGTTCTATAATGATTAAATTATTTTCAATAAATGTATCACTGCTTTAAAATTATCATTTCTAATGTAATCTGAATTATATGAAGTGTTAATTTTTGGGTTATGGCTACCCTTCATGTGTGATTAACAATTTCAGATTTAGCAGCTTTAATAAAAGACAAGAGTAAAACTATTGATAAATTGGAGCAGGTCATAAAGCAGAATGATGATGGTAATTGCAGTACTACTTGCCTTGATACCAAGTATTGTAGCGTTGCTTGAAACATCTAATTTTAAATATTTTTATACTTAATAAATTAACATGAACTTTTATACTTAATAAATTAACATGAACATAACCTTAAATGTATTAAATTATTTTTGGAGTAAATTATTACATGGATTTAAAAGGGCTATTTTGAACCTATGAAAACCTCAATCAATTTATTCTTTTAAGGGACTTATTTCTTTTACTATAAAATAGAATCAACCTTTGATATGATCATTTTTTTTTTTTAAACTTGTTCTTCTCCTATTCACAGTTACCAATAAAAAGCTTCAGGAGCAAAAGGAAGAGTTTGAGCGCTACCGCGATAAACTCATTGAAGGTTATCAAAACGATAAGCTCAAGCTTGATAAGGTAACCTTTTCAAAGTCATTCTCTTTATTTTCTGCTACTTTAACACTCTTGAGACAATTTGGCTGGGCTGATCAGTCGAATGACAAAAACAGGCGAAAGGCCTTTCCATCAGCCCAACAACAAAAGCCTAGAGATTGGCTAGCTGGTCTTTGTACCAGCTGATTTTATATCATTTTTTTTTTACCACTATAAAGGCTTAAAAATATGCCAAAGGCATAAGCATCCCTTAAAGGCATAAGCATCCCTTAAAGGCATAAGCATCCCTCAAAGGCATAAGCATCCCTTAAAGGCATAAGCATCCCTTAAAGGCATAAGCATCCCTCAAAGGCATAAGCATCCCTTAAAGGCATAAGCATCCCTTAAAGGCATAAGCATCCCTTAAAGGCATAAGCATCCCTCAAAGGCATAAGCATCCCTTAAAGGCATAAGCATCCCTTAAAGGCATAAGCATCCCTCAAAGGCATAAGCATCCCTTAAAGGCATAAGCATCCCTTAAAGGCATAAGCATCCCTTAAAGGCATAAGCATCCCTTAAAGGCATAAGCATCCCGAGTGGAATATTCTATGCAGTTTTTTCCACATTGAATCTCATTCAAATGTTTGTTTGGACTTATGATGCTTCAACAATAATAAAATTTAACAAAATTTCTGTTAGTGATGCATGTTTATTATAAGTGCAACAAAAATGTGCATACTTAAGTTATGGAAATTAGGATACCTCATTGGCATAAATGCTGAGATTTCAGATTGATTCATAAAAATCCTATGAGTTCATTCAATTTCCCACAATAATATTTAATTTTATATTTGTAAAGTAATTTCTATATTTTTTATCATTTTTTTTGCAAAGTAAATGTAGGGCTTTTAAAAGGGCTCCGTCTTCTAGGAGAGGACTGTCGCAAAGGCTCCATCCCAAATAGGTTAATAAATATAAGTTTTCATATAACCTCCAAAGCCATGTTTACCTAAAATTAAATTTTAAAAGGGTGTTTTTATATAAAATTTGAAATGTCTTTATCTCGTAAACCTTTTATAAAGCAGACAGGTACCATGGTAGCAGCTTTTAAACCATTTAGATTTTTACAGCTATCATGACTGAGAAAATTCAATAACACTCTTTTTTTGTACTTAAGTAAATTATTAATTTCATAATTTTTAGGGTTTTTTTTTTATTCAAGATTATTTTTTAAAAATATCACATCCACCAAGTAATTTTTGAAGAATATTTATTAGGCAAAACTTGATTGATCATATAATGTGGACGATTATGAAGGGGTCCTTGTTTAATGTTAGCTTTGAGTACTTATCCCTTTATAACAGAACAATCATTGGTCTCTTGAAGATTTGCTGTCACAGTCTGTTCACTCATTCACTTCAATACCATGTGTTGTAAATGAAGAAGCCATTTGATTACAAACAAAAAAAATTGTGCATTGATGTTGTGCTGTCATCTAAAAAAAAAAAATTCAGTTGTGAAAAGCTGCTTCCTGGGCCCTTTGTCATGACAGTCACCTTTTTCTCTTTTTCTACTTACAACTTTCACCCAAACAAGGTGTTGTTGCATTCTACTTGAAGTAGATATATGTATTTCGAGTCCATCATTTTGATTTGCATCATTTTAATCATTTAACTAGTTAATATTATTGCCTTTAGAGATCAACAATTTTTGCTTGTTTTAAAATTGTCTTTTACTTCTTTTTAGTTTTCTTTCTTTGGGAAATAAAATAGATCCGGCTCAGAGGATCTTTGAAAACCCCCCCTCCCTTCCAGGGTTTATTGTCTATATACTGGTTTTATAAATAACATTCAACTTCTTGGCATTAGACACAAACCTGCATAAATTTTCAGGAGAAAAATGAACTTATGGAAAAGCTTGTTAGCGCTGATCAGTATCGAGCTCGTTACTTCAAAAGAGAGGAAGAGAGTGATGAGTTTGAAGGCCTTGCCACCCAAGAGCTGGCCAAAGTTAAACACCTGGTATAATTGCTTTGCTGGGGAGATGGTTATTCTCATAATGTCAAATGGAGAAATCTGTTTGGAGTAGAGGGTGGTATAATTCTTCGCCCAAACCATGAGGCTAGTAAAACTGAATCACTCGTTTGAAGATAGAAGTATTTAACAATAGATTAGTAAAACTGCTTTAAAGAGAAAGAGTAAATTATCTGAAATACATTTTTTCTGTCTAGGAAAAAACTTTTGTTTTGTAAGCAAACAAATACATTTTTTATTGTGTATGAAAAACAGACTCTGACAAAGTTCTCCCACCCCCCTCAATACTCTGCATGCTGTTGAAAGACATGCTTGCTTTTCCAAGTATTCATTTAGCTTGATGTGTTCTGTTGTTTTTGTTTTTCCATCTGCCTATTTAAAGATAAGTCAGTTCAATTTATATGGTTGGAAAATAGAGTAAAAAAGAAGCATACCTCAAATATGTCACAGATGAACCATGAGCTAAAGTATCTGCACTGACACTCAAGCATCTTAAAAGCAGGCATAGGTTTGTCAACGGTGCTTAACTCCAGTGGCCGGTGCTTAACTCCAGTGGCCGGTGCTTAACTCCAGTGGCCGGTGCTTAACTCCAGTGGCCGGTGCTTAACTCCAGTGGCCGGTGCTTAACTCCAGTGGCCGGTGCTTAACTCCAGTGGCCGGTGCTTAACTCCAGTGGCCGGTGCTTAACTCCAGTGGCCGGTGCTTAACTCCAGTGGCCGGTGCTTAACTCCAGTGGCCGGTGCTTAACTCCAGTGGTCGGTGCTTAACTCCAGTGGTCGGTGCTTAACTCCAGTGGCCGGTGCTTAACTCCAGTGGTCGGTGCTTAACTTCAGTGGTCGTGTGTTCCCAGTAGCCAAAAGGAAGATGTGTTGCACAATTTTACTTGGAAGTGGGTCTCTTGATGGAGGAACAGTCATGAATGGGGGACAGAGTTTGAAAAAGGTGGCATCACAGTTGCAAGAGAGTTTTCAAAAGACGGCACCAAGTGACACAGTACTGGGAGAGTACTCCAGGGCATTCCAGATTAATCAGGGTGTCATATAAGGAGACTCCTTATCATGTTCAACATCACATTAGAAAATAATTAAGAGAACCATACATGTGAGCACCAGTGGAACTGTCGGAGGCTAATTTCAAAGAATCATTGCAGGACCATAACTATCACAAAATTTCGCCATTCTGGAAAGGTACTCTGTCAACAGAAGGAGAAGCCTTGTCGGCCTATAATTTGAATTTGAAATTTGTCAAAGACTACAAATTACTAAAACAAAATGAATCCTCGTAGACCATGGGGAAAAATTGGCCATAATACATCATCCCTGTTTGTGCTTGCATATCTGGCTCCATCAAGCATTTTGTAACCTTTATCTGGTACGAAAATGCTCTTTTCTTTATAAAATCTGAGACCGAAGGAATCGCTTATATTAATTTCAAGGATGGTCATTTTGACTTTATATTGGTGAATGCAGAAACTTCTGGAGAACATGTGCATGATTCTGGATTGAAGCAGTCACTGGGTAACCAGAATTCTGCTTCCTGTAGATACAGTGCACCCCCATATGAGCAAAAATAAAGCTCAAGTGACCCGTTTCCAACTATGAGTGGCCAAAATATCTTCCTCTTGAATACTGGGAACACGTGGTGGCTGGAGTTATGCACCATTGACAAATGCACATGTTCAAGATGTTGGAGTTTCAGTACTGTTATTTTGGCATAAGATGTACTTGTGGCAATCATTTTAAGCATTATGGTATTCATTAAATAGCTGCTAGCTGCTGTATCACTTTTTATTTAAAATTATCAATAAGAAATTATTTCACAAATTATGTTTTTAAAATGATAAATCACAAAATGATTTTGCTTAATCAAGTATGCATGCTTTTTCATAATGTATGGGTGAAGGTGGATTAGGTTGTTACTAATGGGACCCATTGCACATGCCTTTCCCTTAGTCTCATGCTTGAGGTATGTCTGGAGACTGCACTAAAAATTATGTTATCGATTTCACAGCCTGGGTCCCCCGCCCCACCATTTCAGCTTTCTATCATTACTTCCTTTGCATGCCACCTAAATACTAATTAAATTCTTTATTAACGCCTGTTGTTACAACTACATAGCGGAATAATCACCTTAAGGAAAATTAAATAATACTTCAAAATTTATATTTTAAAAAATGTTTTAAAAAATGTCATCCCTTGTGTGCAGTACAGGGTTGACTGGGTGACAAAAAACGCTTCCTTGTAGTATTAATTTTTGTTTCTCTTTTAAAGAATTTCATTGTAATAAACCTTTGTTACCAGTGGTTTAAAAAACGATTTTTAAATATATTTTTAAGTTTAAATGATCAAAAATAAGTTTTACCAAAGAACATTATTTTAACATGGACCCTTCTGTTATTTAATATATCATCTCAGTTTTAAAAAAGCTATGATTGGGAACCATTTATTTTGCAACATTAAGTTTTTTTCATGGTACTTCGTTTTTAAATTTTCAACAAAAAAAAGTAAGTTATTTGAATGAGTTCATTTTTTATGATACTTACCGTTTGTTTTTGTTTTTTCCATGGGTACTGACAAAACCTATTTCATGACTGCATCGCCATCTTGTTTCAGTTGTTAAACACAGAAGAGGCCCTAGCGGTCTGCCGCACAGAGCTGGAGACCAAGAGCAGACAGTGCCATGCTGCAGAGACACAGGTGGAGAAGCTGACCGATGAGCTGGGGCCACTGAAGCAGAGGCTTTCTGTTTTAGAAGCCGATAAGTGAGTCCAAGAGAAGGGCAGATATTTTAATTCAATTTCTTTGCAGAACATATAACTTTTTTTTTTTACCTTTCATAAGTATAAATTGTTGGTATGATTGTCCTCAGTGTATTGTCAATACAAATAACAAAGTCCATGTATGGTTAAATTGATGTGGAGATTTATAATTTTTTTTTAAATTAAATTAAATTATATATTTTTCAGTCATAAACTAAAAGAGGAAAACAATGAAAGGGCTGATCTGGTTATATCACTGAGCAAAGATAAATCTGCGTTTGACAAGAGACTGGATGAGATGAATAGAGAAATGACAGAGGTGGATTATTTAATTGTTTCAACCTGTTATATGCCTAGTTTTTTTTTTTTTAATGTTTTTAGAAAGCTAAATAAGTTTTAATTTTTTATTACTCATGTATATTTTCCATAGAAAGATAGGGAGAAAGAGACAATTTAAAAAAACAAAATTCATTTAATCACATTCATTTCAAAACATCTTATTTTTCTTTTATAGTTTATTTAATTTCAATTTTAAAAAAATAAAAGTTAACATTATTTTTAATCACGTCATTTTTTTTTAAAAATATTGTTTTAAAATTCTCAGAAACTCAGTCAGATATCCAAACTTCAAGAGCAGCTGTCAGATTTAGATGGTGAATACAAGACTTTAATACGCAACTCTGATCTCCAGAGAAACAAGGTGTTTGTTATGCCTAATCTTATTCTATCATTGGAAAATGATGTTATTTTTTTTAATACTTTCTTTAAAGAAACTGCAAATGTTATCCTTGTGCTTAAGTAAGTAAAGATTTTAATTATAGAGTATTATCATGAGGAAGTAACAATGTATTGGTTTATTTGTCTTGCAAGACAAGCAAATTGTTAGAAGAGAAAGATGACCAGATCGACACACTTCAAGAGAGAGTTAAACTGTTGGAGCAGAGGCTTTCAGACTCTGGCCTGTCTGGGGACGAACGAACAAGTGCACTCAATGCTGAGCGAGACTCCATGGAGCTGAAACTTTCTGAGGCCAGACAGCAGCTGACGGAAGTGAAATCTACCTGGAGTGATAAAATAAGTCACCTTGAAGACCAGGTGAGATATTTTTATTCTCATTTTGCTCAGAATCTTACCTTGGTTTGATGCTGGATTTTTTTTTCTGCCCAGCTTGTATGGCCATATGTGAGGACAGTGTTACTTCATATGATAAGATAAGTTTCTTTTATGGATCCAAATGAATGGAAATTTGTATTCATTACATTGTAAATATTCATTTTCAGCATGTAAATAAATACATATTTTAATTAAGATGTCATTTTACAATTATAACAGTTTAAACACAAGACATCTAAAGTATTTTTTAGGGTAGAAATCCTTTACTCCTTTACTGATAATAATGACTTTATTTGGGATCATTTATATTTGGTAACCGCTGAAGGAGGACGCATAAGAATTTCATATCATTCGGTCCTAACTTTAAGAGAAAGTATTCAAGCTGATCTTATGTATCTGTAATGACGAGCGTGGAATTTTTTTGGCCTTACCATTGTGTGAGGAAATTCATCACGACTGGTTGGCCATGAAGAAATTCATCTCAGACTTTCATCAATCCCCAGTAATTTTCAATGTGGTGACAGATTTTTCCATTTATTTTTCTCTGAAAGGATACAATTTATTTCTTCAGATTTCTCACCTCAATGCTAAGATCGTTGAAGACAGTGAAGAGTTGACCAATAATCTGACCATTACAGAACAGATGAGAATAAGCTTCCACAAACAGGTGAGGTCGAAGTCTTAACTATTTTTGTAATCAGCATCCACAAAAAAGCTGAGGGTTTAGTCCAGTCCAGGTACAAGTGTCCAATGATCAAAATGCCAGTATTGTAATTAAACTGTGACTTGATAAAAATAAATTGCATTTTGTAGCCTAGTCTCTAAGTACTTATTGTCCTGTTGATATCAAAATCTCCTCTTTTTTTTCTCTCTCAGGTAGAAGATTTGCGAGAAAAGTTGACAGATGCTGAAAACCGAGCCCTAGAAAACTTAGAGCTGGCATCATCAAAGGCCACACATTATGAGAAACAAGTAGGAGCTTTCTTTTGTCTTCTTCGTTTATTTCAGTTTCGAAAAAAAAAAAAATTCCCTAGAGTCAGCGTCTTCAGAGAAAATAAGTAACATTTTGTTATCATTGGTAAAACAAACGCCATAGAATATTTATATTTAATTTAGTGTTTGGAAATTTATGTTATATAACCATCATTTATAACAACAAAAAATAAATTTTCATTATTCCTTCTATTCTTTCCAAATGTATTTCTAACAAATACATAATTATATCTGGGTTAATCAGTCACTAGAATAGTGTTTAAGAAATAGTCTTACAAGTCTGTTTTCTTAAACAGTCCTCATGTAGTCAACAAGAGGCATCAATGCCAATTAAAGCTATTCTAACATCAACTCATTGTAAAGAGCAGCATTGTCAGCTTGTTGTTTTTGTAATGATCAATCTCAAGCTTTCATACGGGCACTTTATTCTTTTTTTTTATTACCTTTATATTAACTTCAATTTTTGTTCGTGGCTGGCAATATCTTTGGTTGGGTAATTGACCCACTTCTCGTCAACCTAAGACGCTAAAACTTGGCACATAGACTCATTGCCGATGAAAATATATTCTGTCAAATTTTCAGCCGCACCCCCTACCTCCAAAAAATTTTTTTTTTCCCTTGTTTTTTCAAAAGGAAGAAAATATAAAATTCCAGATAACTGCACTAAAAGAGGTTATTTTTTTTGAAAATATCTCAAGTGCATAATATTTTCTTTTTCTAAAATTTTTGATGAATTAAATCGGCGATATAAAAGCGGATGGGTCATTAGAATATTAATATAGTTCAGGGGGTGAAAAAACGTGCAGCGGCGAGCTGGGGGGTGGGGGGCCATTAATTGAGATTCTTATGTTGTGCATTACTTGAATGCATGTTTTGTCAAATTTTTAGCCCCACCCTCAATCGCTCGATATAATTTTTTTAAAGGATTTATAAGAAGAAAAAAATTTGTCAGTTAATTTATCTTTGGCTAGTCCTCTCCTGTCCTGTAGACCATGTCACAATTTTTTATATAAAATAACTTCAGTCAGATATCAAAGCTCAGACATTCCTATATTGCAAATAATCAGATCTCAACTGAATGTGCTTCCACAGATTGAGGAGCTTGAGTTAGAGATGAGAAGAATTAAAATTGTACATGAAGACAAAGAGGCACTGCACAAGACCAACATTCTGTCTCTGGAGTCGCAGCTTTCAGAGTTACAGACCAAGAAGCAGCTGGACCAGGATGATGCTTTATTTAAAAATGTTTGTTTTAACTTCCTACAGTGGCTATTTTTCTTTTAGCTCAGAGTTTTATTACTTAACAAATGTCTGAAATATTGTTCAATGTAATTGTGTAGGGTTGAGTGAAGCCAAGAAAGTCAAAAATTCACGGAATATGAACTTTATCATATTTTTAGTTTGGAACTAAACGTTGGGTTAAGTGAGGGATTGCACTTTCTAAATTGGTGATAGGTTGAGTGAGGGATTGCACTTTCTTAATTGGTGATAGGTTGAGTGAGGGATTGCACTTTCTAAATTGGTGATAGGTTGAGTGAGGGATTGCACTTTCTAAATTGGTGATAGGTTGAGTGAGGGATTGCACTTTCTTAATTGGTGATAGGTTGAGTGAGGGATTGCACTTTCTTAATTGGTGATAGGTTGAGTGAGGGATTGCACTTTCTTAATTGGTGATAGGTTGAGTGAGGGATTGCACTTTCTAACAACTTATAAATGTTTTTTACATTTTATTAACATTGTAAAGCACATTATCGAGCTCGTGCGTTAAAAAAAAAAAAAAATCATATCACTGAAATGAACTGCTACAAAAGTATGTTTCATATAAGCATTTAGATATTGTAATGCACTGAATATCTGTGTTTTTGTTGCAACCCTACTTACCACTAGTTGTTGTTCAAGCACCACTACTTGTTGCACAAGCACCAAAGTTTGAGAAGTATTGATTTTAGTTGTCATACATCAGGTTCGTTTCTTGATTTAAAATAATGAAGCAATTGTGAAATGATGCATTACAAATGTCTGCTTTCTGTCCCTCAGACCCAGTTGGAAGAAAGACTGGCAGATTTGCTGAGCAGAGAGGCAAGTCTTCAGGCACAAGTTAGAACCCTAACAGTGCAGATAAGTCAGTTAAATGTAAGGTTACAGTGAAATCTTTCAGTTTGATCAATTTTATGTGCGGTTATTGTTTTTGTCAACCCGTTCAACCCCATAACGGCCAAATCTGGCTAGTTGAGGCACTGTTTATATGCTGCTATATAGAATGCGGGAATCTGGCCTTTAAATGAAAGTCTCGCAAAAAATGAGACAAATGACATTTTAAATATTTTATTTTATCAATTTGGCAAGGAGTAATTATTATTTTAATCACAGATTTTTTTATTATTTTTTTGTGTGGTTAAGGTCATGAGCAATGTTAAGATCATGAGCAATGTTAAGATCATGAGCAATGTTAAGATCATGAGCAATGTTAAGATCATGAGCAATGTTAAGATCATGAGCAATGTTAAGATCATGAGCAATGTTAAGATCATGAGTAATGTTAAGATCATGAGTAATGTTAAGATCATGAGTAATATTAAGATCATGAGTAATATTAAGATCATGAGTAATGTTAAGACCATGAGTAATGTTAAGATCATGAGTAATGTTAAGATCATGAGTAATGTTAAGATCATGAGTAATGTTAAGATCATGAGTAATGTTAAGACCATGAGTAATGTTAAGACCATGAGTAATGTTAAGACCATGAGTAATGTTAAGACCGTGAGTAATGTTAAGATCATGAGTAATGTTAAGACCATGAGTAATGTTAAGATCATGAGTAATGTTAAGACCATGAGTAATGTTAAGACCATGAGTAATGTTAAGACCATGAGTAATGTTAAGATCATGAGTAATGTTAAGACCATGAGTAATGTTAAGACCATGAGTAATGTTAAGACCATGAGTAATGTTAAGACCATGAGCAATGTTAAGATCATGAGTAATGTTAAGACCATGAGTAATGTTAAGACCATGAGTAATGTTAAGACCATGAGTAATGTTAAGATCATGAGTAATGTTAAGACCATGAGTAATGTTAAGACCATGAGTAATGTTAAGACCGTGAGTAATGTTAAGACCATGAGTAATGTTAAGACCGTGAGTAATGTTAAGACCGTGAGCAATGTTAAGATCATGGGCAATGTTAAGATCATGAGCAATGTTAAGATCAGGAGCAAGATCATGGGTAATGTTAAGATCATGAGTAATGTAAAGATCATGAGTAACGTTAAGATCATGAGTAATGTTAAGATCATGAGTAATGTTAAGACCATGAGTAATATTAAGATCATGAGTAATGTTAAGACCATGAGTAATATTAAGATCATGAGTAATGTTAAGACCATGAGTAATGTTAAGATCATGAGTAATGTTAAGATCATGAGTAATGTTAAGATCATGAGTAATGTTAAGACCATGAGTAATGTTAAGATCATGAGTAATGTTAAGATCATGAGTAATGTTAAGATCATGAGTAATGTTAAGATCATGAGTAATGTTAAGATCATGAGTAATGTTAAGACCATGAGTAATGTTAAGACCATGAGTAATGTTAAGATCATGAGTAATGTTAAGATCATGAGTAATGTTAAGATCATGAGTAATATTAAGATCATGAGTAATATTAAGATCATGAGTAATGTTAAGACCATGAGTAATGTTAAGATCATGAGTAATATTAAGATCATGAGTAATGTTAAGACCATGAGTAATGTTAAGATCATGAGTAATATTAAGATCATGAGTAATATTAAGATCATGAGTAATGTTAAGACCATGAGTAATGTTAAGATCATGAGTAATGTTAAGATCATGAGTAATGTTAAGATCATGAGTAATGTTAAGATCATGAGTAATGTTAAGATCATGAGTAATGTTAAGATCATGAGTAATGTTAAGATCATGAGTAATATTAAGATCATGAGTAATATTAAGATCATGAGTAATGTTAAGACCATGAGTAATGTTAAGATCATGAGTAATGTTAAGATCATGAGTAATGTTAAGATCATGAGTAATGTTAAGACCATGAGTAATGTTAAGATCATGAGTAATCTTAAGATCATGAGTAATGTTAAGATCATGAGTAATGTTAAGATCATGAGTAATGTTAAGATCATGAGTAATATTAAGATCATGAGTAATGTTAAGACCATGAGTAATGTTAAGACCATGAGTAATATTAAGATCATGAGTAATGTTAAGACCATGAGTAATATTAAGATCATGAGTAATGTTAAGACCATGAGTAATGTTAAGACCATGAGTAATGTTAAGATCATGAGTAATGTTAAGATCATGGGCAATGTTAAGATCATGAGCAATGTTAAGATCATGAGTAATATTAAGATCATGAGTAATGTTAAGGTCATGAGTAATGTTAAGATCATGAGTAATGTTAAGATCATGAGTAATGTTAAGACCATGAGTAATATTAAGATCATGAGTAATCTTAAGATCATGAGTAATGTTAAGATCATGAGTAATGTTAAGATCATGAGTAATGTTAAGATCATGAGTAATATTAAGATCATGAGTAATGTTAAGACCATGAGTAATGTTAAGACCATGAGTAATATTAAGATCATGAGTAATATTAAGATCATGAGTAATGTTAAGATCATGAGTAATGTTAAGATCATGAGTAATGTTAAGACCGTGAGTAATGTTAAGACCATGAGTAATGTTAAGACCATGAGTAATATTAAGACCATGAGTAATATTAAGACCGTGAGTAATGTTAAGACCGTGAGCAATGTTAAGATCATGGGCAATGTTAAGATCATGAGCAATGTTAAGATCAGGAGCAAGATCATGGGTAATGTTAAGATCATGAGTAATGTAAAGATCATGAGTAATGGAGTACTTGGTAGTAGTTTGACATTTACCCACTGACACAACCAACTTTGGGAAGTAAGGGGACGCAACTCATCAAGCAACCAGATCTAAACATTTGATTTCATATAAACATGTCACAAATAGCTATGTTTTTATTTTATTTTTTTTTAACCTATCAGCAGCAACTGTGGAGTTGCTCCCCTTTGGCTGGGGTTTACATGGATACAATTTCTGAGCACCCAGAATGGAATGGGTTAATTTTTAAATCAATCTTGCAAAAGTAAAAATCTTGTTTTTGATGTTGACTCCATGAGTAACATCCTTACAAGGAGTTCCATGCGTTTCGGAGATTATCATAGGGCTACCTTGTGGGTATCCTAGGGCTGCCTTGTGAGTATCATAGAACTACATTGTGAGAAAGAAAATAATAAAGATGCTTGCCCTCTCTGTGTTTAAAGAAGTTGCAATAAATCGAGAGAAAATCAAAACGTGTATCTAAAATATTCGACAACTTGGGCCAGCATTATCAACCTATGAAACTCATAATTGTTTGGTATGCTGCTTATGGCTGTTAAGACTGCAAGGCTGCTGCTCACCCCCCCCCTCCCCTTTCCTAAACCCTTAACTAGTACTTTAGGACAGATTATAGCTCACAAGCCTTAGCACATAGTAATTTACCTTTTGAAAAGATATGGTGCAGCTTACTGAGCATTTGATACGTTGTAAATGTCATACTGTGAAGTCTTATTATAAGATTTCCTAATGATGATGTTGGTGCCCTCCTAAGAATACTGTGAAGTCTTATTATAAGATTTCCTAGTGGTGATGTTGGTGCCCTCCTAAGAATACTGTGAAGTCTTATTATAAGATTTCCTAATGATGATGTTGGTGCCCTCCTAAGAATACTGTGAAGTCTTATTATAAGATTTCCTAGTGATGATGTTGGTGCCCTCCTAAGAATACTGTGAAGTCTTATTATAAGATTTCCCAATGATGATGTTGGTGCCCTCCTGAGAATACTGTGAAATCTTATTATAAGATTTCCTAGTGATGATGTTGGTGCCCTCCTAAGAATACTGTGAAGTCTTATTATAAGATTTCCTAGTGATGATGTTGGTGCCCTCCTAAGAATACTGTGAAGTCTTATTATAAGATTTCCTAGTGATGTTGTTGGTGCCCTCCTAAGAATACTGTGAAGTCTTATTATAAGATTTCATAATGATGATGTTGGTGCCCTCCTAAGAATACTGTGAAGTCTTATTATAAGATTTCCTAGTGATGATGTTGGTGCCCTCCTAAGAATACTGTGAAGTCTTATTATAAGATTTCCCAATGATGATGTTGGTGCCCTCCTGAGAATACTGTGAAATCTTATTATAAGATTTCCTAGTGATGATGTTGGTGCCCTTCTAAAAATACTGTGAAGTCTTATTATTAGATTTCCTAGTGATGATGTTGGTGCCCTCCTAAGAATACTGTGAAGTCTTATTATAAGATTTCCTAGTGATGATTTTGGTGCCCTCCTAAGAATGCTGTGAAGTCTTATTATAAGATTTCCTAGTGATGATGTTGGTGCCCTCCTAAGAATACTGTGAAGTCTTATTATAAGATTTCCTAATGATGATGTTGGTGCCCTCCTAAGAATACTGTGAAGTCTTATTATAAGATTTCCTAATGATGATGTTGGTGCCCTCCTAAGACATCACCCTGATTCATCATCACCATCAGTTGTGCTACAGCCCATGTAGGGCACTGGCCTACTGCACCACATCCTTCCATTCATATCGATCCATGAATTTCCGCCTTCATGCGGACCCCCAGCTAATGTAAGTCCTTCTCTACATTATCAATCCATGTCAGTCTTCGTCGATCGGTGAGTCAACTGCCCCTAGGTTTCTGCCTGTAGATCACTTTTGGTGATCTATAATCCGGGATCCTCTCAAAGTGTACTGTCCAGGGCAGTCTGCCTTTTTTAATTGTTGCGACTATGGGTGGGTCTTCACACATTTGATATATCTCTTGGTTTTATGCGGATTCTTCATTCCTCATTGTCTATCACCAGGCGGTATATTTATATTTTCCTGTAATTTTCCTGTAATTTCCTGTTGTTGCAGAGTGTTGTATCAGAGAAAGATGAGGAGTTAAACAACCTAAAGCAGCGACTCATTGACTCCAAGATGGCTGTTGATGATCAAAATAAAACAGTGAGAAAAACACTAAACATATCTGTCTCTACCCATGATGACATATGTCTTTTAAAAAAATTTAACCAATAACTGGCCCATAACATTTGCCAGTTGGCAAAATTATTCCAGCCAAAAATATGGTAGACCTATTTTATGGTTAGTCATTTCATGATGAATTTTAAATAAATTCCTTTCCTTGGCTTAATAATTAATAAAGTGTATTTCAAAAACACGCTTCATCCCCAAAGGCTTGTTTTATTTTACCAGTTAACTCAATAATAATAAAAATAATCTTACATGATTAGTTTTTTTTTGTACATTTTCAAGCATTCGGATATTAATGTACATATTCAGATCTCCCCCCCACCCACACACACACACACACACACACTCATTTTGGTGCCTATTTTAACACGTGAATCACGATTGAATTCTTTGAATACGAAGTCATTGTGTTAAGGTCTGAAAAGTCCTTCTTTGGGAAACTAAGACCTATCCCAAACAAATTAAAATCAAGAAAGGGGTCTGTCTTGGTATTGTAAACAATTTTCTAACTAATTTTTTTTTCCATTGATAGAATCTTACACTATAAGGTTCAGAGTATAGCTCATCAGCGCAGTGATAGAATCTTACACTATAAGGTTCAGAGTATAGCTCATCAGCGCAGTGATAGAATCTTACACTATAAGGTTCAGAGTATAGCTCATCAGCGCAGTGATAGAATCTTACACTATAAGGTTCAGAGTATAGCTCATCAGCGCAGTGATAGAATCTTACACTATAAGGTTCAGAGTATAGCTCATCAGCGCAGTGATAGAATCTTACACTATAAGGTTCAGAGTATAGCTCATCAGCGCAGTGATAGAATCTTACACTATAAGGTTCAGAGTATAGCTCATCAGCGCAGTGATAGAATCTTACACTATAAGGTTCAGAGTATAGCTCATCAGCGCAGTGATAGAATCTTACACTATAAGGTTCAGAGTATAGCTCATCAGCGCAGTGATAGAATCTTACACTATAAGGTTCAGAGTATAGCTCATCAGCGCAGTGATAGAATCTTACACTATAAGGTTCAGAGTATAGCTCATCAGCGCAGTGATAGAATCTTACACTATAAGGTTCAGAGTATAGCTCATCAGCGCAGTGATAGAATCTTACACTATAAGGTTCAGAGTATAGCTCATCAGCGCAGTGATAGAATCTTACACTATAAGGTTCAGAGTATAGCTCATCAGCGCAGTGATAGAATCTTACACTATAAGGTTCAGAGTATAGCTCATCAGCGCAGTGATAGAATCTTACACTATAAGGTTCAGAGTATAGCTCATCAGCGCAGTGATAGAATCTTACACTATAAGGTTCAGAGTATAGCTCATCAGCGCAGTGATAGAATCTTACACTATAAGGTTCAGAGTATAGCTCATCAGCGCAGTGATAGAATCTTACACTATAAGGTTCAGAGTATAGCTCATCAGCGCAGTGATAGAATCTTACACTATAAGGTTCAGAGTATAGCTCATCAGCGCAGTGATAGAATCTTACACTATAAGGTTCAGAGTATAGCTCATCAGCGCAGTTTCTTCCTTAAGTTGCTTTTCACTTCAGTTTGACCCTTTTTTCTTTTTTTTTTTTTAACCCAGTGTCATTTGAAACATTTACTGTTGAAACTTTCAGATCTTGTCTCTTGGTGAGCAGCTGTCACAGAAAGTCAAAGAAGTGGAGCAGGCTGAAAAAGTCAAAGAGGACATTGAAAAACATTGGCAGGCGACGGAGAATGGTTAGTGGCTCTTTCCAGCTGTTCCATCTTTAAAACAATGTTGTTGTTGTTTTTTAACTTCCTCATAACAAAGATGGACCTGATTTTTATTATTTTTTTTTTCATCTGTTAACAATTTTTCCCCCTCCCTGGGTAGTAACTTAATATTATGAATTTGATCAAATTTAATGTGCTGTGCTGTTTAAATTCAACAACTTGCACTAAGGTTAATGTTGGTCCTATCAGTGACTTATAATATATCAAGAAGAGGAAATACTATAATAGAGAGATACTCAACTCTCAAACTACATGATTTCTGTCTAAATAAAGAGAAGGATGTGCTATCATAGAGTCATGCTAACCCTCAAACCGCATGACGTTTATCTATATATCTAGAGAAGGATGTGATATCATAGAGATGTACTTAACTCTCAAACTACATGGTGTGCAAATTTCAAATACCAGTGTTTGTGAACTGGAAATTTTTTTTTTTTTTTTTTACCTTTCTATATACCAAAATTTATTGGGGTATACTTTAAATTTATTGGACAAGCACATCAAAAAATATAATCATTTCAAGCACAAATTTAGATTTGTATTATGAAGAATTGTATAAATATCATATTAGATTGTCAAATTAAGGAAGCAAAGTTCATTTTTATCAAAATTTCACATGAATTATTCCCATTATATCCTTGCACCCCTGACCCAAAAAAATCTTCTGGTTTTACCATAGAGATATTTGAGTCTGCTTGTGTAATCAGAGCATGGTTTGACACAAGAATAGTTCTCGTGGAGAGTGCAGACGAGACTCTTAATTTAACCCTAACTCACATGTGGAAGTTGCGACTGTTCAAACAGATTTATTCCCCCCTTTGCCCAGAAAAAGTAGGATTGCTGGAAAGAAATGCAGACCTTCATAAGCAAATTCAGGTTTTGAAGTCCAGCAACTCAGACTCAAAGCTTGAAGTTCAGAGAACACTAGAGCTGAAGTCACAAGCTGTGGAATCATTGCAGAAAACTGAGGCTATGCTGAGACAAAAAGTGGATGCTTTGGAGAAACAGGTTTGTTGGAGTAGCTGTTGTTTAAATCCTTAAGTAAGTAGCTGTTGTTTAATCCTCAAGTGAGTAGCTGTTGTTTAATCCTCAAGTGAGTAGCTGTTGTTTAATCCTCAAGTGAGTAGCTGTTGTTTAATCCTCAAGTGAGTAGCTGTTGTTTAATCCTCAAGTGAGTAGCTGTTGTTTAATCCTCAAGTGAGTAGCTGTTGTTTAATCCTCAAGTGAGTAGCTGTTGTTTAATCCTCAAGTGAGTAGCTGTTGTTTAATCCTCAAGTGAGTAGCTGTTGTTTAATCCTCAAGTGAGTAGCTGTTGTTTAATCCTCAAGTGAGTAGCTGTTGTTTAATCCTCAAGTGAGTAGCTGTTGTTTAATCCTCAAGTGAGTAGCTGTTGTTTAATCCTCAAGTGAGTAGCTGTTGTTTAATCCTCAAGTGAGTAGCTGTTGTTTAATCCTCAAGTGAGTAGCTGTTGTTTAATCCTCAAGTGAGTAGCTGTTGTTTAATCCTCAAGTGAGTAGCTGTTGTTTAATCCTCAAGTGAGTAGCTGTTGTTTAATCCTCAAGTGAGTAGCTGTTGTTTAATCCTCAAGTGAGTAGCTGTTGTTTAATCCTCAAGTGAGTAGCTGTTGTTTAATCCTCAAGTGAGTAGCTGTTGTTTAATCCTCAAGTGAGTAGCTGTTGTTTAATCCTCAAGTGAGTAGCTGTTGTTTAATCCTCAAGTGAGTAGCTGTTGTTTAATCCTCAAGTGAGTAGCTGTTGTTTAATCCTCAAGTGAGTAGCTGTTGTTTAATCCTCAAGTGAGTAGCTGTTGTTTAATCCTCAAGTGAGTAGCTGTTGTTTAATCCTCAAGTGAGTAGCTGTTGTTTAATCCTCAAGTGAGTAGCTGTTGTTTAATCCTCAAGTGAGTAGCTGTTGTTTAATCCTCAAGTGAGTAGCTGTTGTTTAATCCTCAAGTGAGTAGCTGTTGTTTAATCCTCAAGTGAGTAGCTGTTGTTTAATCCTCAAGTGAGTAGCTGTTGTTTAATCCTCAAGTGAGTAGCTGTTGTTTAATCCTCAAGTGAGTAGCTGTTGTTTAATCCTCAAGTAAAACACATCCTTGCCAGTTTTGTTTTGTTGTAAAAAGAAAAATCGGAAATATATCTTTTACAACAATCGGAAAGTTTTGATTTACTTCTATAGTAATTAAAATAGTATATATCAGTGCTTCTCAAAATTCCCAATTCCAAAATTCTCCTTACATTTTTTTTACTTTTCGCAAATCTGTCAATGGGAAGACTGTCCGTGAACCACCAATTTGAAGAAAACAGCAAAAAATTTAAATAATTTCTGCAACACTTAAAAATTGTATGTGTGCATTACCAAACCAATTAAATTTACCATTAGAGTCCTTTCATTGTCAACATTTCAAAACAGATTGAGCAGCATGAAATAAACAAGGCAGAATCTGGATTGTACTCTGATAGGATTGATGAGATGAATGACATGATTGCTTCACTGCAATCACAGCTTGCTGAGAAGAACCGGGTAAATATTTCATATTTAGTCATTTTTAAAAACGTCCTTTTTTTTAAAATTAAGTCCAAATCTATTAATTTCATCGAGTTAGAGGTGAATTCATTGTCAGTTTTTAGTCAGGACCAGGTTGAGATCTGCCATCTTCTATACAAAGAGCACTTTGAGAGCTTTTCAATTCATAATCATTTCAGAACGAACTGTTGTAACATCAAAATATTTTCAGATGTTGAAGAAACAAGAGCAGACACTGAAGGATTTAAGAACCACACTACAGCGTGAGCTCAAGGTCCAGTCGTTACCCAACGATGAAGGCCTGGACCAGACTGGCAACAATACGACCTCTACATCCCCATCCTTGTCCCGCCGTTATGACTCTTACCAGCAGCAGCAGCAGTCCTTGCAGCACAACTACAGCCAACCCAATCTCCTGCGTAATAATAACTCGATGAGCAACCCCACTGCGGCGGTTCTGCCGGTACAGCTGTCATCGTCCAACATGATGACTTTGACAAGTTCCTCATCCTCTGTGCCCAGTGGTGCCACCGATGCCCTCACTGCCCACACGACTCACGTGAAAAGAGAACTTGATAAAGATGTGAATTTCCAGTACCTGAAACATGTTGTCTTAAAGTTTATGCTAAGCCGGGAATCCGAGGTAAAACAAATTTTTCTTTTTTTCCTTTTCTTTTGAAGTATAGATTTAACACACATTCTGTTCTTTTTAAAATTCTCCTAAATTCTGTTCTATTCAAATCAGCTGAATGAGCTGTCAAACTTTTAGAAACAGTGAAAATAGTGAAACTAAATATGTATACCGGTACACTTGAAAAGACAGGACAATTTCATGTCAAGCCCAAACACATCTTATTCGACTATTTTCCTTCACACAGCAGTCCATCCTTTATTATACTTTACTGTTAAACTTAACAGTCTGTTTTATTTTATCAGAATAATGAGATCTCCGATAAATGTTATATTTATAAACTACCAGTAGTAATGATTAGCAAAGAAATGATCGAAAAAATATTTTTGAGGTAATTTTTTAAAATGTTCCTGTGCAGTTGGTAATTTTTTAAAATGTTCCTGTGCAGTTGCCGAAATTAAACCCTTTATAGTTTCACACAAGCTTGTGTTTTATTGAATAGAATCATGTCATCAAAATTTTACAAGATATATTTATTTTGCGTATAATTTGTAATTCTTACATAGAAGCTAGAGGTCTAACTGTAAACTTGTTTTTTCTTAAGTCTTAAGTTATTTACGTTGACAAATAGTAGTTAAGTGTAAAAAAAAAAGATTTTGCAAAGATGTCAGTTAACAAAGTTAATAGCAGATTTCTTCCATCATCAAATGTTGTGTTAATTATTTAAGAAATAAAGAGTTGTTAAAAATGTACATAGCTAGTATGTGTTTAGAATATGTTGCATTGTTGAGGAGCATCCAATGCAAGATTTCATACTTGTGAAAACTACAGCACATTATAGAGGTAAAATTTCTAAATTAGATATTTGCCTTTTAACCCTTGTATCTCATTTTTCCTGTTCAGACATTTAGACAGACTTATTGTTATATTTAAGGCAATCCAACTGATAAAAGCGGTTTCAATGCTTCTCAACTTCACACACCAAGAGCAGCAGCTGATAAAGGAGACACTTGAGTGGAAAATGTCCTGGTTCGGTCATCGGCCCCCCCTAGGCAAAGGTCAAACTTCTAAAGTTATACCACCAACATTGTAGCAGCATGAAAGCTTAGAATATTTTAATTAATCCTCTGTTTGATGAAGTGAAATTTGGAAATTTTCTAGTCTAACCGTAACCGCCTGCTGAATGTTTGTAGAAATCAAATTTTCTTATCTTTGTATTGAGATGGATAAATTAATGATTTAAAGACTGTTTACTGCATTTTTTTATACACCTTATAAAGATTATATATATATATAATTAATATTTTAATAATTCAGATTTATTTTTATTCCAAAACCATTCTCTAACCTAAACAAAGAAAGACTTCATCTCAAGCAGAAAGCTTCCTTTCTTCATATTATTTTCATAAAACTGTCTCTGCTCAGCTCCTAAAAAGAAAATATACCCGCTACTTCAAAAATGTAACAGAGCTTGCATCCATTTTTTTTTTTAAAGTTCATTCCTACTTGCTATATTATATTGTTGCAATATCTTTATTGGTTTTGTAAATCTGCCATCTGTCATAACAATTGTCACAATGTTTCATTGTTATCTGTTAAGAGCATTACCGGTACATTACAAAGCTGGGAGAATTTAATTTCAATATAATTTGTCGAATGTTGTGATTTTATTTTTTAGTACATTGATCGGTACTTGGTGAAACAGTTAATGATATATTTCCTTTTGAGAGAGTCAGACGACCCACAAATATATTTTCTTTCACCTCCATTGGAAAATGATAATCACCCGGATAAATGTAATTTTGATTTCACAAAAAATCTGTAGTTTTTTTTCTATCTCTGGTAGAGAAAACAATGAATTCGACAACACAAACTCCATTTGCTAATGCTTTAAGTTGTATATATGTGTCTTTAACAAGAAATGTGACACTAACATACAATTTAGTTAACATAGTGTCGTTGACAAGGATGTGGGTTTTAACTTTTTGAAGCTTTCATAAATTTAGTGTATAACAGCTTTTTTTTTTTTCTTTTTTTTTGTGTTTTTTTACTTTGAATGGCTGTCTATATTGCCTTTGTTGCTAGCCTCCTGGTATGTTTTTTTTAAAAATTAGTTTTCTAATGAGAAGAAAAGGATTTACATTCAGTAAACAACTGTAAATTTGGGAAATATTTTTTATAGACAACACCTCACTGAGTGACCTAGTTTTCGTTTGTTACAGCATGGTGGTCAGTATCAGTAGGGTATTGGGAAGACAACACTAGGGGCTTATTCATTTGATGTTCTGAGTATAGCGAAGGTCTCAAGGATACACCAGCTTGACAATTTTTTTTTAAAATTTATATCTCATAAAATATTTTAAAATTTTGAAAATACATTCTGCACAAAATTATAAAAATAGTGAACAAATTAAAGTTTATTCTTTTTTTTTTTTTTAAGTCAGCCTCAGCCATGCCAGCTGACTCATATTTATACTCTGACTGATCCCTGCTTTTCTGTGTATTGCTAATCTTCCAAAATTTATATCTCATAAAATATTTTAAAATTTTGAAAATACATTCTGCACAAAATTATAAAAATAGTGAACAAATTAAAGTTTATTCTTTTTTTTTTTTTTTAAGTCAGCCTCAGCCATGCCAGCTGACTCATATTCATACGCTGACTGATCCCTGCTTGTCTGTGTATTGCTAATCTTCCCTCTGCTTGCAGTTCAACTTCTTTGTGACCGCCATAATGTTGATAAACTAAAAAAAAGGCATGCTTAGACATACATTTTTTTTGTACTGATTTACCATAATCTCATAATAAAATGTTCTTGTGTTAACTTCAGTGCTGTCTTGGTTGTTTAATTTCACAGTTTATTTTGTTGACATTAATTGAATAAAATCCATTTGTTAGATTTTTTCTAAAACGGGGAGAATAAAATATATGACCTTAAATAATTTTAGCTCAGATCATTTGTGTGTAATAAATATCAAAGCTGGGTATTTTTATCTTTGCCTAAGAATAAAGCTGTTCTACCCTAGTTATGCATATATTTTTTTTAAAGTTAGCCATGCTTCTGCCTTGTGATGTGCTGTAAAATTGTAGAAAAATTCTCTCACTTTAGTTTACGGCTAATTTTATTCCAACAAATGAGTCTATCGCTGTGTCCTCAAAGAAATCTGCCATGTCATTATATCACTGTGTCCTCAAAGTAATCTGACGCATCATTGTATCACTATGTCCTCAAAGTAATCAGTTGCGTCATTGTATCACTGTGTCCTCAAAGTAATCTTGACACGTCCTTGAATCACTCAGAGTAATCTGTCATATCATTGTCTGACTTTGTCCTCAAAGTAATCTGACACTCCCACCAGAATGCCTAAATAATCAAGCTGTATACATATGAACTTGTTAGCCTGTTGCACTGTGTTTACTTGTATTATACAAATGATCCACCCAGCCGCCTGTGCTCCCTTGTGATTTAAGATTTTGTTTCTTTCAGGTAAAGATTTTGGTTGTGTTGAAATTTCCCATGACATTAAACTAATTTAAATCCATTGGCAATTAGTCATTTTGAAAATATTTTAACTTGGTTTGAGATTATAATTTCTTTTCTTTCTTGTTCTAACACTTTGGATGTTTATAATGTTTAGTTTATTACCGGTACCGTAATGTTTAATGTTAATATTTTATGTGATAATTATGATGCGTGTCTAGCACAAATTAAAGCTTCTAAATAAGGCTAAAAAAATTTGGCTCAAAACTAATTATCTGAATAACTTGTTTAAAAAGATAATTTTTAATTGAAGATAGAAATAATTATATGATTTAAATAATTAAAGCCAATTTGTAGATATTTATTTTAAAAACGATTGACTTAAATGTGGTGCCATCAATTTGTATGTGTACGTAACATCATAAATTACCTGCAATAAATTTTCAATTCTGACAGATTTGTGACATGGCTCTGTGTGTGTGTGATACTGGATCCAAACATTGATGAAAGTTGCAGTCAGAATTTCTCATTTTGTAGAGGCATTGTACCCTTTTATTGTTTATAAGCTCTAATTTTACAATTTCACTTTTAAAAAATGCAAATTTTACATGTTCCTGGCATAACAAATGAACTTATGTTAAATATTGTAATTATTTATTATAACTGTGAGGGAAATTCAAATTTTTGCATATGTATTATATATATTTATTCCCAAGTTAAAGTTGTTTTAAAAAATCTTTGTCATTAAAAATTTCATAGTGATAGGTCCTCAAACCAGAATTTAAAAAATAAAAACATATCATGTCGAGAAACCAGTAAACTACCGTTTTCATGAATCCTTAGAATATTTTTTTTTAAATCAAACTATAATTCTGTTAAGTAGACATTTATTAGCTTTTTTTTTATTTCCACTTGAAAGATACAAATATAACTTTTATTCTTCATACTTCTCATTTTTCTGGGGATGTTTATTGATTTCATTTAGGCCTTTTGTCCAGGTCCAATAAAGCTTAAATAATTTTTAGATTGCCCCCCCCCCCCTTTTTTTTTTTTTAAGATACAAATATAACTTTTATTCTTCATACTTCTCATTTTTCTGGGGATGTTTATTGATTTCATTTAGGCCTTTTGTCCAGGTCCAATAAAGCTTAAATAATTTTTAGATTGCCCCCCCCCCCCCTTTTTTTTTTTTTAAAATGAATGTGTTTCTTGCATCATTAGATTTGGTTAACACTGCAGTATGTTTGACGACAGCTGAACCAGTTGTGCTGTTGTAAACCAGTCAAGATGGTCGGAAACATTAATGTGTTCTAATGTAAATAATAATTTGTTTGTTTGCCATACACTGGTTTTACAACAACCACCAGTGAAAGGTTGTGATAATTGAAATGTTTATAATTTGCATTTTATGGGTCACTTTTTGATGTGTGTTTTGTGACATTTATAAATTTTACCACTGGCATACTCCAAAAATCTATACTGAAATTTAAACAGATAATAATGTGTCCTTTTTAGAATAAAATTCTTAGCTTATCTAAATTTTGTCATTGAATTTAAGAACTTACCACAAAATATTTACTAAAGACAATTAGATTTAGCATTAGCGATCGCTCTGCATATTTCTTTAAACTGAACTATGCAATTTTTATTTATAATTTTGAAATGCTAATAAATTAATGGCAAAATTTATTTAGATTAAAATAGCTCTTTAAATTTGCTATTAATTAATAGATAACCAATGAAACAAATAACAATTGAATAGTTGAAAAAATTTTGGGAACCTTTTTGATTCAACCATTATGTGCACTTCAATCTGGAATAAAAATAAAAAATAATCAGCTCAGTTATTAAATCTGGATTTTAAAGAAAAACTTATTTACTGCTCGGTGACCATTTAACTGATAAAGGGAAATGGGGAAAATTCTTCTGAATGTCAACCAAATCAAAGACTTGAAAGAATGATATCCCATGTTTGCAAGCCAGTGCTGAGAGGGAAAGCTTGGTGCCTGGACCTTCAGTTGATCATTTGTAAATAGTTTGGTATTAAATTGATTAAATTACGGTATTTATTTTTTTCATACAAATACTCTTTATATATGTGCATGGATGAGAATAAATGTCCTTTCAATTAGCCGCACACTTTCATCTGCTGAGAAATGTCTCATTCTTTCAGCCAATACAGTTTTTGTGCATCTCTAGTCATTTTTATTACTTGAAACTGAAATGTTCTTGGTTATTTATGTTTTTACTTGTCTTGATGCTTATTAAAAATGAGTAAGCAGTGTTAATATGGTGTCGAAAAAGTAGAAGAAAAAAAAAAAAACTAGTATAAGTAAGACCTGACAGCGATGATTTCATCTAAAGACCAAACATTATATGTATAGTAGTCCTCTGCTGCTCTGTATCCTAAATTAATCATATGAAATTAAAAGCAAAGAGCCTGCTTTTAATTTATATATATGAATATGGCAAGTTAAATTATTACATAATTATATTGTCCTTTTTTTTTTTTTTTACAATTCCTTGAAACTGTGTACAATTTGTTTAAATACTCCTTTGTTTATATTATGCCAACTTGATTTTTAGATCATAACCCAAAAAAATGAAATTCAACAATAAAACGATTAACAAATACTCCTAAAGTTCTCACTGATTTTAATCATTTCAGTGACAGAGGGTCAAACAATATTATTTATAATGGTGTCACAATATGTTTTATAACAATAATAACACTTATATCAAAAACACTAGTTTGGTGGGACATATGTCACAATATCTTAACTACAAAAATAGTACTCATATTCAACAGTAGTGTGGTGGGATTTTTTGTTTTATAAATAATTCACAAGATTGAGGTTTGCTTTTCAAATTCCTGTTGCTTGTCAAATGGGGCAATATTTAAGGGAAAGTGTGTAGCAAGATAAGTGAAGAGCACTTTATTTGCATAATTGATACATATACTGAATGTAAAAAAGACATGCACAGGCTATCACTATCAGTGTGATTCTCATTCCTGTTTCTGTTTGATGATAATTCAATTTTGAAGAAGATGAGGGAAAGGACTGTCGTAAGGGATTTATTGATGCATCGCAAGTAATTGAAATGAATCATCCTGTAGAGCCTCCTCCAGTGGGTTACTGGTCATTAAAGTTAAAGATCTCCCTTCATTTGTCACTGCTCATTCATGGTGTCCCTCAGTATTCCCCATGGCTCCAGACTCTTTAGTTATGACTTTTGTGGCTTCTACATTTTGTTCTTTGGTCTCCTAAGTCCTTTTGTTCCAATGTTCAAAGTCCCTTCTCCATTTTGTTCTTTGGTCTCCCAAACCCTCTTGTCCCAATGTTCAAAGTCCCTTTCACCTCTGCTGCCTTTTTACATCATATTTATCGGTAAAGTGGTTGTTTTTTGCCACAAGTTGGCATAATATGTAAAACATCTGTGCTTTGTTGTTTTCTTGTGTTAAAGTGGTTTTTGAATCGCCATATTCAGTTTCTTTCATCTCCATTTATATTACATTTAGTCCCATATGTTAACGTGCAGGTACTAAATTTCAAATTACAAACATAATTTGGTTTCCAACTTAAGTTAAACATGAATAAAATGCACTAATTTATATTCAAATTTAACTTTTTTTACTAATGCTTTTAAGTTTAACTTGAGTTTAAAAATGCTCTATATTTTATTGTACATTACTTTTCAAAAAATGTGGGGTGTGATGTTTCCAGGTTCATATTATGCATCTCAAACAGTTATAAAAAATGTATTACAGTAGCCAAGTTATAGTTCACAGTAGGTATGCATCTCAAAATTAGGCTAATATTTAAAGCTTTCTATTAATTTTGGATATTGTGATTTTGTTCAATTCTGTGTAAACTTTTGTCATTCTCTGCAAAAAAAGCCCTTAACACTGCTTCCATAATTAAATACATGTCTTGTACAATTTCTTTTTCTTACCATTTAGTCAATATTGTTAGTTGTTTACTTTCATCCAATGTGTGTTAACAATCATAATATAAAGGAAAACATTTATCCAAACACAAATCTAAATTTTAAAATATTAGATTTACAATAAAAAGTGATTGCTAAATTATTAGAATTTGTGTTAGTGCTAGAAAGTTTTTTTAAGGCCTCATTATCTGACTTTTTTAAAAATTGTCAATGATTTACATTTATTAGTTAACTAGAATTTAAATTAAATTCTTTTACCAATGGCAGTTAGGTTGAATTTGATTGTTGGAATGTTGTTAAAGAAATGGGTTTTTGTTTGTAATTGGGAAAATGCAATAAACATTGAATAATCATTTCTTTTTATGTTTACTGCTTCCATTTTATGTTAATACGTTTAAATGTTTACTGACATCAGTTCTTAGGGAGAACTGGCTAGAATTTCTATTGCAACTTCTTGTTTTTGTTTCATGGTGACCGCCCAGAATGAATAATTGAAAGACCAGATCTAAGTGTAAAGTTCAGCACAGGATTGACCTACTTTTAAGTAGAAGTGTTGCAATATTTTTATTATTATTATTATTCGTTCTTCGCATGTGAAAAAGACCATAGCTTCGACTTGAGTAATAGCCTTGACTTGAGCTGTATGTTGTTTTAAAGTGAGAGAGAGTTGCTCAATTCATAGCCCTCACTCTCTCGTCCTTGCCTATTTCTGCCAATGGCGAGACGACAGGAAGTAGACCAGGATGCATGAGATGACCTGCAGTGCTTCTTGTGTCTCACTGTGCTCTTTAAGCGTTCCAGGTCGCGGAGCTGTCGGAATTCTCATTGTGTTAATGTCATAGCGCCTACGGGACTCTATCTCTGACTTTGAGTTCAGAGCTCTCATTCTCTTAGATGAGTGGCCATCCAAGGTTAATGAGTTGCATCTATCTCGGCGTTTGATTTCAGTTTCCCTTCACTTAGATGAGGCGCCGACCGGTAAACTCGTGGAGTACCCCCATCCCCTCTGGACCCCCATCCCCTCTGGACCCCCGTCCCCTCTGGACCACCATCCCCTCTCGTCCCCCATACTGGCACCGAGTATATCTTAACCAGATCATACAGAACCGCTTATACTTGTAGACATAAGAAGAAAACAGAATTTAAGGTCACAGCTTTTTTTACAGAATGCAATAAAAATACTATTGTATTGAAACATTGCAGTCCACAGTTAAAGCTTTACTTTCCTGGTCTTCAAAGATGCAAACATGTCAATCACTTCATCAAAATCAAAATTCTTCACATTATCACTTTCATATGACAAAATCGCTATTTTTTAAATTTATTGTAATTCCTATTAACAATAGCGCACGGTTACACTATTTTGGACGAAATAGCAATTAATCCATAATATGAACTACAATAAAAAGCCACAAATAGTACTAGTACAACTAGTACTCGCTAGCCTTGGACGGCAACCCATCTAAGAGAAGGCAAACTCTGAATTTAAACCAGGAGCCAGAATGATCAACAAATTGATCGTGGGCACCTCAAATATAAGAAGAAGAAGTTTCCTCTTAACCAAGCACTACACACTAACACAGCGATGGCCACCCTGTCGTTACGTCATATAAATTCGCACACCCTGTGCTCAGGCCTTGAGTTCTCGTAGGTCGTGCTTAGAGCCACCCATAAATGACGTTATGCTCCCCCCTCCCACCCCCACCCCAGATTTTTTACAAAGTTTGACAACCTAACCATACATCATTACAAATTATATGTTACCCCCCACTTCCCCCCATCCCCCTCACTTTTTTTTTTAGATGAGTATGTGGCGTAATTTATGGTAGACCTCCTTATTATGCTGGCTGGCCAAGTGGTCAAAACTGAGTCAATCCCAAGATAATTGACTGGAGTTCCATCCCCATCAAAAGCCCAGACAAGCAAAAACATCACCAGCACACTGGTACTCCTTCGACTCGGGAGAAAACTCGTCTAAGAGAAGGTAAACTCTGAATATCTAACCCAAAGAGATTGTTACTTATGAAATTGACACAAGGAAAAATATGACAACCCGTGAAACGTAGAACACATACAGTGAAACGTACTGCATCCTGATCTATTTCTCGAATAAGTCTCGCTACTTCATAACTCCTAAAAAAATCTTGCTTATTTTTTTTTTTACATTTTTTTTTTAGATTAGACACTAAGTGGCGTAGCTTGGGTTTGTGTTACCCGGGCGATGGATTTAAAAAAAACAAATTAATTGTAGGTCAGGAGATAAATGTATTTAAGAGCTGTAACAACGTTAAGTTATAGTTATTTTTACATTAAATTTACTTTAATTAAAATTTTCCTTTCCTTGTTACATGTGTGGAAAATGTGCATGTGATCGATTATCCTTTAACTTTAACTTTTATTAAAATTCGGTTCAACCGAGCAGTGTGAGTGTGTGCTCTGTAAATCATCAGAATCAGTGTCAACCGGTGCGGTCCGCACCCCCCTTGAGATGCCCCTGAGTATATGCAAATCACCGCTGCAATTCCACGAACAATTATTTTATTTTTTTCTTTAAATTTACACAATGCTGTTAACTAGAAATAATTGTCAGCGTAAATTTTGTTTTGTTTGTTTCCATATTTAAGACTCTTCTTTTTAAATACCCCAGGAAGAATTTGCATTTTTATGTTTATCAGAATAAGAAATATAAAGGGGAGTAACCTCATTTACTATTATTATGAAAATAGACTTGGATACTAGTTGAATAATTATGACTATCTTTAGCGTATACATTATAAATAAAGCTGGTAGTTTAATCTACCACTATGATTCACCGAATGTGTCTAGACCAGCTGTAGAGAAAACATTTAGCTATCCTCTCGAATTAGTTTTAAAAGTCTTTGATGAAAAAGTTGTTGTAGCTTTTGGAGAGAGGGATGGCATCAAAGGTAAATAATAGTAATAGTTAAGTAGACTACTACAGTAGACGTATTAATAATTAACTATATATTTAATTAGTGTTAGCAGTGTAACTCGGTGTTAGTCAGTTAGTCTTATTATTAGTACCGTTAACCTTATTTAAAGTAAATATTAATAAAATTAAGTAAGTAGTTTCATACTTGAAGCTCAGTGACAGTGAACCAAGTCTAGCAAAGTAGTCTAGTGTCTAGTTAAGAGTTTAGACCAGTGCTTTGGGAAGGCTTTCCAAACTTTTCATGTTAGGGCAGAGACAAACTTTTTAGACATACATAGTGGCCTCGCTAGGGTTAATTATATAATGCCGCCCGGGACGGGTCAAGATTTTATCCCCCCCCCCCCCAAGAAAAACCTAGTATGTAGTTGGCCCAATCATGGGCCTATATCACTGTATAAAAAAAATAATGCCGCCCAGTCCCTCTGCACACCGGGACGGGTTAAAATTTTAACCCCCCCCCCCCCAAGAAAAACCTAGTATGTAGTTGGCCCAATCATGTGCCTATATCACTGTATAAAAAAAATAATGCCGCCCAGTCCCTCTGCACTACCATTCCTATGCCAGTTGTCATACATCTTTTTGTGTCACACAGTTAGTTGATTCTACCAATATACAGGAGCTTCAACTGGCCCATTGTAAGTTGTAAGACATACATCATATGAATATGGGCACAAACATAAAGTGTAATATTTACTAATACAATGCCAATTGGTCCACTATTAGCGAGCCATTATCACATTTTAATGATTTTAACTTGCACTTGGCTGTTTCCGAATACTTTAACTTTTTTTAAATGTTCTTCTTTCATTAAATTTCCAAATCACTATCTTGTCTCATAATCCTATTGTGGGCCATAGCACAAATTCGATATTCTGGTATGTATGCTATTTCCTCTTTTTCCTTCATTGAGATTCAGTTTTGTGCATAAAGTTTTTAAATTAGTGTTGAATTTTTCCTCAAATTCATTTTTCTTAGTTTTCTTTAAAAATGTAAGCATCATTTTCCTTGATTCATATACCGTACTTGACAAGAACCCGACCTCGTCAGAACCAACAAATTTCTTCACAAATAATAATTGCACAATAATCTCATCTGGTTTAAAGAGGCCTTCTTTTCATATAATTTACCATTTGCACCACTTTGTAAATAACATTTCTTATTTAGTTTCAAGGGATTTTTAACTTTAAAAAATTATGAATATCGTTATGGCTTTTTTTTTCATGGACACACCTGCACTCTGCAGGCCACAAACAGTTTGGACAGCACTGGACTAGACTTAACTACAGTAGAACTTCGTTATGTCGTCGGCCAAGGGGCTAGCTAAAAAGTGTAGAGATAACCGATGATCGAGATAAATGAAAACCAATATGGCGGCAATATATTAAAATTTGCTTGAAATTTCTTTATGTACCGTGCGTTTATAAATAAGAATATGTCTAATACACTAAATAAAGTCTAAATTTTAGGCTATGCCTAATTTAATTTTAATAATTAAAGTCGATAATAATTAATAGGCTATAGGGCCTAAGCCTATATATGTTTTAGGCCTAGACTAGGTCTAGATTACTTTATATTAGATTTAGACTGATCAGACTGTATACTGATATACTGTATATGATTAGAATATAAATATTATGAATACTTTATTTGTGAAGTACTCATTTTAGACTTATTTTTAGGACAGCTTGCTTAGGCCCTTACTTAGTAAACCTACTTTCTATTAATGATTGTTATAAAAATTTAAGTTATATATTATATATATATATAAAAAAGGTCTATAATATTAGGTACTCACTGCGCAGATAAATTTTTCGGATGCGGGAAACAGACCATAAACCTGTGTCCCGGTCAATGCCAGTAGATCACGAGGTCATATGTAGATCTAGTTTAGTTTGTCTACTTAAGGGAGTGACAATGAACTTATTATAGTCTGTTTGGTGCACACGAGAAGGACTATCATTACAATTACAACATAATCTTAGGGATTCTTTCAGTCCTGTATTTTGAGAAATAAATAACTATTTTTAACTCTGCAAAACTTGTTGTTTGCTATTTCTTCTTGCGGAGTTAAAAAGCCGGTGATCGATCAGGGGATCGAGATCACCGACGTAAAGTTGAAAATTAGCTCGAGGTATCAGGGTTCGGCGACATAAAAGAATGGACATAACCGAGGAGAAAATGTTAAGACAAAGAGAGAATTTGGCAGGTCCACTTCAAAAATGTCGACATAACAGGGTTGGCGAGTTAACAGAGGTCGAGATGAGCGGGTTTGACTGTAGTTACCCTGGAAACAGAAAAACTTGGTCATCTTTTTTATTAGAATAAGTCTTATTATAAGTCTGTGTTTTAATGCTAACACTATTATTTGAGGAAAAAAATAAATGTATTTCAGTTGGTCATGCAGTTCTTGGAATTAATGGTGTACCAGCTGAGGGCAGGTGTTTAAAAGATAAACGGGACATACTTGAAGTCTTAGCTACAGAGAGCAACTATCCAATAAATATCAAATTTGGAAGACCACATTTGACAACAAATGAAAGAATTATGTTAGCCAGTATGCTACACTCGTAAGTTAATATCTGTTCTCTAAGTAACCTTTTCTTTTTTAGCTAAAAGCCAATCATATCTTTTTAAAATTCTTTGAGGCTGCAGTATTTCTCAATAAATCTTCCACTGATAATATGGACATTTTTTAAATTGCAGATTATATTGAGATGTTTATAAGTAACCTTTATATATTTTGGTTTGCTTGGTTAGTTTAATTTTTAAATGTCTTTCTCCTACTGACATATTCACTGAGAGTACCACACTCTGACAAAACCCGGTGTTTTTATTTGCAAATTGACAAATGCAATTTGCAAATGATATTATTTTGGGGGTAACATAAATGATAGAAATGAAATTTTCTTTAAACAATTATTACTCTTACAAGTAAATAAAATATGCTACTATATATGTAAATGTTTTTTTTGTTTAGTTTGTTTGCAATTGGTTCCCAGTTATCCCCTGAGCCTCATGCATCGGGCATTCAGTCTCTTGAAACAGATACATTCAAGCTTCATTGCCATCAAACAATGACAGGTAACAACCAAGTTCATAAAACTTTGTGAACATTGGGGATTTGGTAACGTGCAGACCTTAGAGTAAAGATCTTATTTTCTGAGTAATTCTTCCTTTCCTTTTTGTAAGTTTTAAAAATCACTTCAACCCTAAAAGACAAGAAACAACCACACAAAGTTTTATAAAACTTTAAACCAATTCAATATTTCAATATGACAATGTGTAAACAAATACTGGCTGTGGATCAAAATATTTTTTTGATTACTAATTTTAATGATTCCACAAGATTGCCTCTGTGACTCCAGCTTAAGCATACAGTATAATTTTAGAGTATAATAGTATAATTTATTTCTAAGACGACAGCGATAAATTGATGCAAATTTGAAATATGTCCCAAATTATTTTGAACCTTTACATTTCAAGGAATGTTTTACCAAGCATAACAATCTCTTATTTTAGTATTAGGCTCTGCAGTCCTGAACATTTTATAAATTCTACATTTCAGGTGTCAAATTTGTGATCATAGCAGACCCCAAGCAAGCCAATGTAGATGTTATACTAAAAAAACTTTATGAAGTGTACTCTGACTTTGCCCTAAAAAATCCATTTTATTCTTTGGATATGCCCATAAGGTAGTAAATTTACATCTTTACTCAAACTATGTGTACTATTTAATTTTAGCTTCTTTCATCAGATCTTGAAGAATATTGAGTTACCGGTACTAGAAGTTTAGAAGATATGACTTGATGTTACCAGGATAATAATGGAAGGATAACTAAGGTACTTTCTAACTGCAGTTGTGAAGTCTCATTTAAAAATCCAATTTTTATGTATGTAACTGAATTGGGTTTCAGTGTATTGTATCCTTAAACAAATACAAAATTTTCTGTGCCTTTGAATGCATATTTAGGAAAATAATACTGTAAATCAGACTTTCCTTATCTCTTAAGAAGTATTAAATAGGATAGAGAGTTACATTTCTAACATCATTGGGTATTGAGATATGTTTACTTTCTGATATAGGCCTACCCAACCCTTTTTGCCGCCCAAGAACTACAAAAGTAAAACATATTTTCTAAAAAAAATTTAAAACATGTCCTTAAACTTAAATAATCTACGTTCCATTTTAAATATCTGCATTATAACGCAGGTTGATATATTGGTATCTTCATTAAAAATGTACAAAACATTTTGCTTCACACCTCGACTATATTATCGGGAAATTTTAAACACATAATTCTTATTTCTAAAGAATAATCTCTTTATCAGTTTTCACTTGTGTTTTTTTATAAATATTATTAATCTCTTAAAAGTTACCCACACTTTTCCATGAGCTACAAATAGAGTAACAAATAATTTCTTATTTTTTAAAGATTTAAACACGTCGTTGCTAACGGCCCTGAACTATATTTTTGTGAAATTAAACAAATATGGCTATATTTTTAAAGACTGAATTTTACATTCTTATTCTTATTGGATTTTGAGATGTTTTTATTCACATAAAAATATTCCCATGCTCTTTTTTTAGCACTTGAAATGTATTTTTACTAAATATTTTCAATATATTTTTTATTAATATAAACATATTTTTATCATCATAAAAGTGTCCCCACCTCTTCACCTTGCCCCTGAACGGTATCTTGTGAAAAATGGGAAATACTCGATGTTCTTAGTTTCAAATAAATTTTATCCATTATTTTCCCCTTACCAATTTCATTGAGATTTGAGGTAGGGGTGTGCTTAACGCCCTTGAACTGCGTATTCTGACATTGGCATTAAACATACAGCATTTATTTATTTTAAAAGAAAAATCTAAACCTCTTTTTCACAACTTTAATATCATGGGAGATATAGTCATCCACATAAAAATGTACACACCCTCTTTCCTCCCCCTGAAATATTTTTTCGGAAGAAGTTGAAATTCATTATTTCATTAGTTTTAAAACTATCTAAACCGGAGTATACCTATTTCGGTCGTTAAAAATATTTCCTCTTTGAGATATTGCTATACGTATAAAAATACACCCACCCATGCTGTAACATATCTTGTGTTGTCTGGCTCAAAGTCCAAAAATGGCAGCCACCTCCCCAACACACAAATATTTTATGAAGGTAAGTCCAAAAATGGCCGCCCCCCCCCCAACACAAAAATATTTTATTAAAGTTTCAATAAAAAACAATAAATAAGCCCCCGGGGTTGGTAAGCCCCCCCCCCCCCCACACCACCACCTTTATGCACAAACTTAAATTTAAGAAATATTCTCATGTCCATCCCCTCTCAACACCATAACCATGCAGTGCACTACATTTTCTTTAAAATATTACTCATTTTCAAATTAAAATCCATACAGTAATTCACATCCATAAAGCTTTAAAATAGATTAATTATTTAGAAAAAAACAATTTGTGTAAATAAAACATTATATGTTCAGCTTTAATGATGATTTTACAAAATACAAATGTAAGCTTTTCAGCAAATGCCTTCATCAGTACAAAAAACATTTAAATAAGTATAAATTAAATTTAATGATATATATTTACATGTATTCTACCTAAAAAATAGAGAAGAATAGAGTAGGCGCAAACCCAGACAAAAATAAAAACAAAGTTAAGAAGTACTGAAAGAAACCTATTAATTGTACCAGATATGTAATTGATATTTTGAACATTTGTATGTCCTAATCTTTCTCTTATTAGTTTTATTAAGGGTATCATGATAAGTTAAAAATATCTTAAACAAGAGCATTTGGAATCAACCATTAAATGTAACTAATGTTCTGCATGTACTCCCAGAGCAGAGCTGTTTGACACCAACCTGCAGGCTGTGTTGGAGCAGGCGGATAAACCTGGGATTATTAACAGCTAGAGGTGAACTACCATGATTACACTGGAGAGCAGTGTCATTGTGATTTATTAAAATGTTTTATTTTGTATATTTTAAGCAACCATGCTCATGCATATATCATATGATGTTGGTAATACTTTTTCTGTCAACGAAGTTACTTTTTAATGAGCCTATCATGCCAAAGTTCATAGTAATAGACAAATAGGAACAGTTTGTGTCAGATACATTTGTTAAAAGAGTTCATAAGGAGACTCTAAAGTGTTTTTTTTAGTTGCTTTATACTGATAGCAACTTACATTATTAATGCAAACAAGTAACTTTTTTTTCTATTAACATTCACTTGATGATGTTGATATTGGAAAAACCAGCCTTGCAATTATATTTTTATGTAAATTCTCTATTATAATTATAATGTCACTGCACTAATCAGAAAAATTTTTTTTTTAAATTTAGTTCTTTTTTTTAAAAAAGGGGTACAAAATGGTAAAAACAATTTCAATCCAAAAATTGTTTGAATTCAATCTTGCTATCAAGGACAATATGTTTTTTTAATGATTAAGGTACCAGTGCTGTGGTCACAGAGATTTTTACTTTTTAAAATCATTTAGCTTTAAGTCTTTTGAAAATCAAAAATAATTTAAAATGTTTTCAAACTTCAAATGATTTTTTTTTTAAAGCTTGGGTTCTTGTTGTGAACATAATATCCCAGTACTAATATCAGTAATTCCAAAACTCAAGTGATATAAAGTTGGATTGTATAAGTAATAGAAGTATCTGGTACTTTTGTTTGGTACAACAAAAATATCAAAATCTCTTTATATTTCCGGCTAACCAACTAAATATATATTTTAAATGTAGATCACAAGCATAAAGTTAGTTTGGCAATCACTTGTTACAGTAACATTATAGTTATAGGGTTTGTTTTATTTTCCTCCTATTTTTCCATATCTGTGACTGAAAATTAATGTTTTAATTTTGCTTTCTTAAAAAATAAAATGCAAGTACAGAGTGTTAAAATTTTATTGAATTCCTTTCAAAAATATTAAAATGTAAATTTCCTGGCACTGTAAATGTGTTAAGAATGTTTGTTTCTGATTTACTTTGTTAAAAGTTTTATACATTTTTAATTCAGAAATGTAATGTAAGTTTATAAATGCATCTCTGATAGATTTCTTTTTTTTTAAATGTATGACAGTAGGATCTCACCTTATAATAAGTTTTAAATTCAGTAAAATAAAACAAAACTTTTTATTTAGTAGGCCTACCAAAAGAAAATTGAAGTAATGCAAATTATATGTCAGTCATTTATTAGTTGTAGATGCTGGTAACGTACTGGTAAGTTTAGTTCAAATTTTAACAAAAAATAATTTTAAAATATTCAGATCAAACTTTTTGCATTTTCCAATCAGTTATAGGAAATACAAGTCTCAGGATAATGTATGAGCGACTACGCCCAAGCCATGTAAAGTAAATGAATAAACAGTTGAACAAGATAATATAATAAGATAGGCTTGAAAATAAAAGACAAAATGATTATAGTGGAAGTTTCAACTTGATGCCTTCTTCAGCACACAATACAAGTAATTAAACAACATGAATTTAAATAATAAATTAAAACTTATGTTTTTTGAAGATCTCAGTAATGTCTGGGTAGTTCATTGTTTAGAACAGGGAGCTGTATGTTATTTTTAAAACTAGGAAGTTAGTTGCTCACAACCAGAAAGTGTGTCCTACATATTTCTGTGGTGGCTAGTATTATAGTAAAAGAATTTAAGTATAATCATTGTACAATTTTAAACGGCAAAAATTGAAAATAAGAGATGGAGGAGAAACAATCTTAAACTTAAAGGACATTGCTTAGTAATTCAGTTAATACAACCTTTTAATTAGATATTGCTACTTAAAATTGTTTTTGTTTTTTTAAATTGTGGAATACTTGATGAATGAAACATTACCAAAAGACTTTTGAAATAATGAATTATAAAAATGTATGTGCAATAATTTGATGGAAACAACTCTTGTAAAAAAAAATTAAATCACACAAACTGCGAAATAATTTTGATGAGCAAAAATATGTCAAGAGTGTGCATGTTTATTAAATGTACTGTTATTATTAAATTATGATTAGGCTGTCATTTTAGGAACATTGTCCAAAGTGGTTCTCAAAATACTTACATACCACGATTTGCAAGGATTCCCAAACTGTGGCTCTTGGTCAGTTGTGACTCTCTAATTATAATAAATTGTATGACTGCAGCATTCCAATCATCTAATGTGAGCCAATGTTATATTTTATTTAAAAATAACTCCTTTTTCTAATTTTTGCCTTCAAAATGTTGAATAATATTTTCTCATAGTAAATGTTTGGGTGTTCAATAAATTGATAAAATCATCTCAAAATTAAAAATTTGTTTAAAAAGTCGAACAATGATTTTTGTTTTTTGTTGAATTTTATACGTAACTAACTGTTTTAACATTCACGTGCAGCCAACACCATAAAGAAATCTCATTATACCCCAAAATTCATTTTAGCGTACCGGTATACAATTTCAATTTTAAAGATAGGCTCAACCCATCAAAGAAATTTGCGTCTTAGACTTTTGCAAGGCACACTGATCCCAGACTTTGTTTCTTAGTCCTCTGCAAGGCAGACTGATCCCAGACTTTGCATCTTAGTCCTCTGCAAGGCACACTGGTCCCAGACTTTGCATCTTAGTCCTCTGCAAGGCACACTGGTCACAGACTTTGCGTCTTAGTCCTCTTCAAGGCACACTGGTCGCAGACTTTGCACAAGCCTCCAATAATACATGATACAAGTCATGGAGTGCTTATAAGCTGCGCACTATTCAGGTTATTATTGAAATCTACCCATACCAGTTATTGCTGTAAATTAGTGTAAAGATGGAAAAGTTTTGGTTTGAGTTTGGAAAAAAAAAGGGGGGGATCCGGTAAAATGTGGAGGTAAAATTGGCTGCTGTCTTATTTAAAACTCTCTGAATAGCTGCCAACTTTTTCAAACTGGTTTCCCATGTTATTGCATTCATTTTTTTTAAATATTCCTAGATTCTGTTCCAGAGAATTTAACTGTCAAACTTAACAATTCAATGGGTTTTGTTTTATTGGGATTTATCAAGTTACCGTACCCAATTCATGTCATCAACCTAAATAATTCTTTTTGTAACAATATCTAATGCCAATATGTCACTAACTATAAGGTTCAAAAGCACGAAAAATAAAATTCCTGATAACTAAGCTAAATGAGATTCTTAAAGATACAGCAAGTATGTTTGTTGTAGTTATATTTTCTATTGTTTTAAGGAAATAGTCTCCATTTAATTAAATATGATGTGTTAATCTGCTGTGTAAAAGGGTGTATATAATATAATATTAATATATTTCAGCAGAGTAAAAAAAACTGGGCGTACTAGGGTAGCAGTAGCAGCAATTGGAATTTTAGGATAGTGGGCTATTGAACTCCAGGTTACATGGTAACATTAGCTTATTTATTCTAATACCGGTATCTAAAATAGCCATAACCCACCAAACACAGAGGCAGGGGCAATGCGTGAAATTCCCCATCAACTAAAATTACTTTGCAAAACATGCACTTCATAAGAATATTTTCTTATTGTCAAAGAAAATCTCAACCCTTTGTTGTTCACGCACTTGAACTGTATTTTCGTGAAATGAAGAAAAGTATCCTCAAACCTTAAGTATCTTCACACCTCTATTTCGTAAACACCTGCTGGGGTGATGTTGTCTACCATCTTTTCCAGCTGGCTATTATCTCCTAGATGTATATTGGCCTGTGTTGTTTATATTTGCAAGGGATAAAAGACTTAGAATGGGTATTCTCCGGTGTAGTTTTTGTAATGTTGCATTTTGTATTTCAATGTGGTATAATATAGATTTTTTTTTCATTTTTCTTTTAATATGGTTGACTTTGCACCTCGCTTCAAGCCTTTGGGGATGAAGCGTGATTTTCAAATAAACTTTATTATTATTATTAAGGATATCTTGGAAAAAAATCTTGATGTCCTAAGTTTTAAAGAAAATCCTAACGACAACTCTTTTCCTTTCCTACCCATCATTGAATTTTGCGGTATGGTACACTTATCTAAATGTGCCCACAATGTGGCCACGCCACTGAATTGAATAGACTACTGCGTATTTATTTATTTTAATAGAAAATATGAATATAAAACTTCTTTTGCATGACTGTAATGTTATCAGAATTTAAAGATATAGATACCGGTATCCAAACAAAAAAAGATAACACAAGTCTTTCCTCTCCTCTGAAATGTGTTTCCTTAAGATTTAATTATATACATTTTTTCATTACTTTAACTTTAAAAACGATATTTTCACCACGAAATGTATACCGGGGTATATTAATAGAAAAATATATTAAGTTCAACGCATATTTGCATATATTTAAAGAATATGGTTATTATAATTAAAGTAAAATACATTCCAAAGATAAAAATTTTATTAAAATATATAACTTAATCATGTTTGTGGATATTGATATTAATATATACCCCCCCCCCCTTTTTTTTCAGCCCAAAACAAATTTTTCTCACCCTTGATATGTAACTTAATGTAAGTAAAGAAAAATATAATAAATTCAACGCATATTTGCATATAATTAAAGAATATTGTTATTATAATTAAAGTAAAATAAATTCCAAAGATAAAAATTTTATTAAAATATATAACTTAATCATGTTTGTGGATATTGATATTAATATATACCCCCCCCCCCCTTTTTTCAGCCCAAAACAAATTTTTCTCACCCTTGATATGTAACTTAATGTAAGTAAAAACATAAAATGTTAAAATTAAATATATCATCATCCTTTAATGTACGGCAACAGATATTTAAAATGGTGCATAGATTTTTTTTCTAAATTTAAGAACATGTTTTTACAATTTTTTAGAAAAATATGTTGTTGTTTTTTTTATATCAGGGATGTGTAAAAGGTTTTGGTAGGGCTATACTACTATATAGAAGAATTAGAAGATAAACATTTCTTAAAATCCAATGAAACATTAACACCTATAAATACTATAAATAGATACTTCTTTAAAAATAAGGAAAATCTGAGTCACTATTTCCTAAATTTTTTAAATATATTTAAATGGGTTGAAAAATTATTGCGATTTTTTTTATTGAATACTGGGTGTTCAATACAGTACAGGGTACTGTAAATCATAACCTGATTCAGTTACATAAGTAAAAGATGAATTTTTAGATGGTGAGACTTCACAAAAGCATTGTTGTGTAACGTAATTAGTTTTTTAAAAGTTTAATGTTTTACCATGGCTCGTTAAAAATCAGTACGGTACATAACAAAGGGACGATACATTGATTAAATGTAATAAAGAAAGTATGATACTCCAACTAGTGCTAATTACAAGTAACAATTTATTTATAATCTATAGTAACAATTCTGATATCTTTATTACAAAATAAAATAAATAGAAACAAAACTCAATTAACTTACAGCAAATAAATACATAATACAATACTAATAGAAATGTAAAAGTAAAACTGTTAATCCACACACACAGAAAAACTAGTGGGTCTTAAAAGTCTTGTAGGTCTCATAGGTATTTCTCTTACATATCCTGATCAAGAAGTCTAGAAATTGAATCGTCATATAGTGTCTTCTACCTCCATTCTGAAAACCAAAGTTTAACCCATCAAGGGAAGTGGGGGATTATGGGGTCCATTGTTGCAGAGTGTTGCAAAAAGTCAATATCAATAGGCAATAGGTATTGGCAGTTATAAAAACAAAGGGGAGATAAGAGGTTACCCTATGGCTCTACATCGATGTCTTGAAACAAGCATGTAAAACGTAGGCCAATATACCTTACATTTAAACCTCGGGTCCCATCTTCAAATATTTTAAAGATCTATTGAAAGGTAGTAGTGTGTGGTGCTTTTTATTTTGCATTACAATTATAATAGTATATAGTGAAATAATCAAAACTTTTCTGGCGACACTCAAAATATTTGAGTTAATAATGGAAAGCATTTAGTAAATTCATGGTATCAAAACTATACACATATTTAACACGCCTTTCATAAAATAAAATAGAGCCAACGCATTAGACAATGAGACATGCCATTAGACAGTCTAAATGCAACTCTAAGGTCTTTGTCCATTGTTAGCTGTTATGAAATCCTGAAACTTATCAAAATTTATCCCCCACCTTATCCCAAACAAAAAACAATTTACAAAAATATTTATGACAAAATTAGACTAGACACCATAAAATTTAGGACCAAAATTTCACAAGCTAAATTAAGGAGCATTCACTAAACCACCTGATTGGTTACTGATCGTAGTTAACAAGTTGGTATGACTCTGTTAGGTGACCCAATTCAGCTTCATACAAAGCGTCGTTGATTAATTTCTCCGCTAGGATTCTTTGGTGTATTTGAAGATCTCTTAATTTAACAGCCACATTCTTCCCAAAGATGTCAAATCGATCTTCCTTGTTATCTGCTGCTCGTTCTATATGGTATTTAAAGTCATCTTCCCCATCTGATGAGAAATCTTCATTTGCAGGGTCACATTTGTCATTTCCTGAGGAAGCATAAGATGCTGATGGGGTTGGTTGATGTGCAGTTGAGGGAGTAATGTTGAAAGGCTGAATAGGGAGGCAGGTAGATGAAGGAGAAATTACCATGTCTGTGACAGGTTGCAATGCAGCCTCTGGTGAGACATTGTTGATTGCATATTTCAATTCAAACTGTAGAAGATCATCTGTTGTAGGTTTCCAATCACCTTGTGCCACATCAAATGATTCACTCACATTCTCATGTAGGCCTATGTTGCTATCTGCATTCTAAAAACAACAAAAGAAGTTTTTATTTTGTATTTATTACTTTATATCAATAAGGATGTGTTAGTGTTTATTTTTTCATTTCTTTTGTAACGTGTAAGTTTGGAAAATTACATTTACTTCAACTTAACCCTCTATGACTATGCCATGCATCATCAGATTTAGTTTATGACACCAGTAGAGCCTAATGAATGCTCAGGAAAGAACAGGAAAGTTATCACACACATCTTCAGGTCTTACAATGGTCTATTCATGTTAGGTTTAAGCCCAGTGTTGGAATTTCCCAAAGTGACGTCACTGCGCTTAGGGTGAGACAATTCTTGGGCTAAACCCATGCGTTAACCCAAAATTTACAGCTTTTATTGTTGACTTCATTTTATAAGCCTACCGTTTTCTTTCCCTTTGTATTTGTATACCGATTGCCATAAAATTTACGTTTTTTGGACTTAGAAGGTCTATACTTTCTATCACTAGTCATCATGTATGTAAAAGACAACAGTGACAACAGTAATCACACAAAAAAAACAGATCAAAGTTGTATTAAAAAAATATTATTAACCTAAACAG